GGGGCAGATGGTAAAAGAAAGGGAAAGTTGTTATCATTTTGATGCCTGTGAAGGCAGACTGGTTTCCTCTCCACTGCTCTGGGAGTCCATGGTTAGCAGTGCCTTTTCACTCCCAGTGCTGAGCTGAGGCTGCTGCTGCTGCTCTACGCAGATCCCAACTCTGCCGTGATCTCAAGATTCCAAAATGTCAGAAGCTGCCACTGGAGCTCGTGATCCTCAGGAACTCTGCTTAGTCTGAAGCCCCAGGCAGAGTATTGCCAGCTGCCATTCTCCAGGCAGGGCAGCTCCATGGGTGTAGGCAGGCAGAGCTTTGTGAGCAGTACTGGGAAAGCAGAGGAGAGGAGATGTGAAGGCTTCCCTCACTCCATCTTCTTTTGCTGGTGTTTGATTTTACACTGTTTGGTAGTGATACTAATTCTAAAAAACCCTTGGTTGTAGCATGAAATGACTGGATGTCATTTGTGAGGAGAGAGACGAGATTTGCCACTGTCTCATTTCTTAAATCAGAAAGCAAAGTTACTGAAAGGACCAATTTGTATTCTGCTTCACACTGATTTAGAGCAGTGTATAAATCATCTGGTAGGATAAGTAAACTTGCTCTCTCCTTTATCACAGAACACTGTCTTGCTTTTGCCTTGCTGGACTGTATTTCCTCATTCACATGTTTCATCGTCATAATAGTAGGGTAAATAAAACCTTTGGAAATAATACTGAGTTTCTTCTCCTTGGGCTGGCAGAATAAACTTCCAGCCAAGAGCAGTAGTCAGACAGATCTTCCAGGTGGGGGAGTCTGAATGGAAAGTCACCACTTACATGCCTTGAGACATGTCTTTGCTCAACCTTTGGGAGGTTTGGGGTTTTTAAATTTTAAAATTCAACTCCTGAAATAACTTTGTTGTGCTACAGAGCTTGGGAAACAGTGTTATTTCCCCCTTACTCTTCTAAGTGTGTTTCTCAGAGACAATTTCTCATAGGGGTCTCATACCAGTTTTAGTGCTGGAATAGGTTAGGACTGTTGTTCTTGGTCTCCTGAGGCATCTAGACAATAATGTTTAGGGACAGACTTGAAGTGACTTTCCCTTTGATTATGTCCTCCTTGATTCTGACACTTCTAGAACCTACTTCTCTTCTTTTCCATCCCTCAAAAATGTCCAGCAAAGTGTTTCTGAATTCCTTGCCTTCTAAAAATTTGTGTAAATACGCAGTGTTTTCTTTCCATAATGTTGCAGGGGGTGGAGTGCTACCTTTGGAAAACAGCTGATAATCTTCCTTACATGGATCTGCACTAGTAGCGTTTTTTGACTGTGAGTTTCTCCAGTGGCTACCACGGTCAAATACTTAAATCTTCACTACTTAAATCATCACAATTTTGCAAATGCTGAAGCAATAAAAACAAGTCATTGATTTGCCATCTGCATGCACAAAACCCCATGCTGATATTTAGTGTGCAGTGATGAATGGAAGAACAAGGGATGTTGAGCTTTGTGGTGGAGCGGTAGGCAAGCTGATCAGGTGCTGCTGGGTGGTAGGCTGAGAGGTAACACACCTGGGTTTATTTTCAGTGTGCTGATTCAAATGGTTAGAAATTATCTGAATGTACAGAGGTGGATTTCTCTGTGGGAGTCATATGCATGTTTTAATCTTACAGGCAAGATTATTTTGGTAAAAGTGTTGCAGTTAGAAACCCCTAGGGATGCTGGCACGTCCATTTAGTCTCTGAAGGGAAACACATGAAAAGACAGAGGAAAGCTGCTCCAAGCTTGATTTAACCACGTGAGTCTTGCAAAAGTATAGCTTACTGCAAAAATTACTGGTAATCAGACGTGCTGTCACAAACAGACAGGGAATGTATAAGTATAAAACACTTCCACCAGCTCCATCAGAGGGAAGACAAAGAGGGTTTCAATGGGAGTTTGTATTCACAGATAATGGCTTAAAGTGGTAATTGATGCCAGCTGCATAAAATCACTAGGAAGGGCTCACCAGCTGCCTCTCTCCTTCAAGAAAAAAGGATGTACTTTTGTATTACTTCATGAGAATGACAGTCTCTTGCCTCAATCAGTTTTAATTTTCTGCTTTTGTGATCCCCTTGCCTCTGCAAATGGAGGCACTCTCAGTGGTGGTGGTGCAGTGCATGTGTTGTCTGGAGGAGGTGACAGACCTTCCATCTCTGAGGCCGGCTCGCGTGTCCAAATCCCAGGAGGGCTGCCAAAACACCTCAGTATCCTCAAGAGGATCCTTGCTGCAGGCTGCAGTGTACCCTCCCTGAGGCACGTGTGTCCATAAGGGAATCTGTGTGGAAAGGGCCTTATCCTTTTGGGTGGGACTCATCTCACCCTGATGCAAGACATCTGCAAGTTTGGTGTCTGGATCTTGGTTAATGACCTCACCCTCCTTTTGTAGTTAGTGGGGAGAAGTAAACACCGGTAGGGTGCACATTGTTTGGCCTCTTTCATATGTCCGCATTGGGATGAAATGACCTGTACCCTGGGAAAAAAAAACTCCTGAATCTGGAACAGAGCAATTTTGATCTTGCCAACTTTTTGTTTTAATTTCCTTTTTTTAGTCTTCTACCAATTGCTTTACCACACTGGTGCTTCAGCCTTTTCTGTGCTGATTATTCCTCATAATAGTTCCTGTCGCCACAGAGTCTTCAGGACTCACTGCCAGGGGGTTATAGATCCACACTAACTCAGTGGATTCTTCCAAAGCCTGGCAAAAATTACTGAATCCATTTGTTATTGTAAACTGCATTTTGTACTGGATTGAACTGTAGGTGAGCTATTTGTGTTGTAGACAAGTGCTCAAAGGCAGCTGAAATATGAATGTAGGACCATTGTTAGCTGTAGTTCAGGAGGTACTTGGGGAGATATTGCTGCAGGGAGATTCTGCTGCAGGCCTTTGAGCAGGTGCTGTGACACAGATTCAGTGGAGAGCTGAAAGAGCACTCACTGTCTGCAGTCTGCTGGCTCTGTGTGTGCCTTTTTTGGTGTTTTTTCTTTTTTTATTTTTGTGGGGGGAGGGGGGCTGGGATTTTTATTATTTCATTTTTCAGAAATAGCTCCTGTTTAAGTATTGTCATTTTGGCTGCTGTTACAATAAATAAACACAAACAACCTTTAGGACATCCTGCCCATTGTATTGCAAAAGCTATTGTGTTCATGTGCTGAGGGTAGGAAGTAATTTTTATCTAAAAAGTCAGTTCAAAATAGCAGATTAATCCAATTATACATATTAACCGATCAGCAATTAAGTCCCAAAGCATCAAGTTTAACAATGCTTCTGTTTAATTTCTTTTTGCCTAAATGCACAATTAGAGGTTTGGTGTAATATAAGCCTGTCTTCCACCTCTCTTTTTTTTTTCTTTTTGCATATAGTCGGAATAAATAAAAAATCATTCAACAGCAAGGACAACAGAAGCAGCTGAGGAAGCACCAAGTTAGCTTTTGGCTCAAAAAGCTTTTCTGACAATGCTCTCTCCCAGGGCTGCTGTTCACTAGAAACTTTGATTTACAATATTTTCTTACTGTTTTGTTCAGTCTTCCAGAAATACCCAGTGTTTTACTTCAAAGGCACATCTTAAGAAGATAAGAATAGTTTATCCCTGGTGCATTTTGGGAATTCTGTCATAATAATTTACAAATAAGCGTTGCACCCCACTATTAGAGTGTTTGAAATGGCTGTAGCATGTACTAATGGTTGTGGTTAGCTTTGTAGCAGAGAGTGGTGTCTGTTGTTCAAGGTGTGTGTACGGGTGTGTATAAGGAGTTAACACAAAGCTGCTATTAACATCTGCCTATGTCATGAATAGGATATTTGATTGCTAGCGTAGTACAAATTGCGAGGAAGTTTAAGGCTTAACATTTTATCATATAATCAGCTTTGGCATCACAGAATAATTAGCGTATGTGCTACCGTTCCCATCAGGCAGCAAGCCTAGGGAGAAGTTTTGGCTTCTTCCTGGAATCAATTTAAGGTAGATGTTTTTCTGCTTGGATATAAAATTGTGGAGCAAAAAGGAATATCCACCTGCCTTTTAATTTGTTGCCTTGCTAGGCGCTTGAAGAAGACTCCTGCTGTCTAGGTGTGGGAAGAGAGAGTTGGGGGCGGGTTGGTGTCCTCTCCTTCTTTTGTATCTGCTGTCTGCCTTCTCACGCAGCACCTCAGAGCGTGTGGATCCTTCCATGCAGCTTGTCCTACTGTCACTTCAAAAGCAGGCTGTGGGTCTTTTGAGGAGTGGTTTCATTCTGTTACCCATTTCAGCTCTTTGGAGGGATGACCTCCCTTCACCTGAGCTGCTCTTTGCTTGGCACCTTGCTGCAGCGGGGGGAGCCAGGGGAAATCCTTCCTCCGCCTTTGTGTCTCAGCATCCTGTTTACTGCCTGGGCTCCTGGCCCATTCTTCCTGATGCACTTGCTCTTCCTCCACAGAGGCAGATGGAGGAGGAGAAGGAAACTTGTGCACGAGGCAAATGCCTTGTTCTTGCAGTAAGGGGAATTCCTGATCTCCACCTCTGTTTTCCTGTGCCAGTCCAGTGCTGGCACCACAATGGGAACCTGCTTTGGCAGGTGGTTTAACGAAGCCACTGTCTGGCCTTTTAATAGAACTGGTTAAAATTAATAAAATTAAAGGAGAAAAATTGAGGAAGATGGAAATAATATTCCTCTGTCATAAATTCCCAGCCTGCTAGCTATGGATTTGCTTAAGGTGCTGCAGGCATTGGGTTTTTGAAACAGATTTTGTCATGTTCCATCACTGGGTCAAATCCATTGCATCTTTGATTTGTTTCTTTGCGCTACTGAAAACTTTGGAAAGACTTGGTTTAGACCATTTCAGTAGACAAGATTTTGATGGCATGAACATCAGAGGAGTTTACTGAACATGATGCTGGTATAAATTGAAGTTCAGAAAAAAATCTACTTTTATGAAAGTGAGGAATAAATCAATAATACATGTGGTATATTAAACATATGGGGGTTTGTTTTATTTTTTTTCCAAAGGATGAAGAAGAAGAAATTAAACTGGAGATTAATATGCTAAAGAAATATTCTCATCATAGAAATATTGCAACTTATTATGGTGCTTTCATTAAGAAAAGTCCTCCAGGACATGATGACCAACTGTGGGTAAGCAGATGTTTTTCAAACATGTTCGTAAGTGTTTCCCTTGGACATAGATTAATAATGAGAGAAATACCACTTTATAGAATGACAAACTAAAGGAGTTTGGTGCTTGCCTGAACTGCTAGATAAGTGAATCACAGAGGCTAATCACACATCCTTAAGGGGATGTCTAAACCAAGATTTGCTATAAGCACTGGATTTGTTCTTTAAGTAACTTTTTTTCCTATTTCCCAGATGGATAGTAACATGTTTCATGGGAGCAAGACAGCTGAGGAGTTAGAATATGTGACTGTAAAAAGAAAGCTGCATTTGAGATTGTACCCATTACATTTTTCATCCCACCTCATCTACACCCTCTAGAGGACTCAAGTTTGGGGTTGAAATGGCAGGGAGCACGTTCTTCCATAAATACATGGAAGTTAAAGGATAAGAAGTGTTGCAGTGATGTGATGAGTTTGATTCCTTCAGCATTGGATGTGCTCTTACTGCTAATGTATTTTGCTAGCTGAGCAAATCCAGATACCCAGCATTAAATTACAGTGATTAAATCAGTCCTTGAAAATGTGGTAACTAATGTGAGACATATTCCATATATGTCTGACACACATTGAAGACATTTGGTTGAATCCATTTTCCAGGCAGAGATGTAAAATACATTCTCTACTTCACAAGAGCTTCCCAAATTAATGCTGTAACCTGATTATTTTGCTTTGCTGTACAGCTGAGATCTATGTTTAATGTTGGTTGTGCACTGATATTTGTTTTGCAGCTTGTTATGGAGTTTTGTGGAGCTGGCTCCATCACAGACCTTGTGAAGAACACAAAAGGGAATACCCTGAAAGAAGACTGGATAGCCTATATCTCCAGAGAGATTCTCCGGGTAAGGAAAGCAGCCTGCCCCACACAGAAACAGGCTGACAGAGATGCAGCCTAGCTTGAGGTTCTGCAAGAAGCTGTTTCTGATCAATCCCATTAGCCATGTCATCACTTGGAGAGTGCGTAGGAGCAGATAGATGTCTGCTCCACATCATTTAACTTGGTGTGAGTTGTACTGTATTGTAGCAGAAGCCTTGCAGAAAATTGCAATTTCTAGTCATGAGAAGCCAATAGAGGAGCCAGTGACCTTGCCTGCTGCAGAAGCTGTGAAACTGTGTCCCTGAGACCTGGGGCTGAAACAGGGTTGTAGCACCGTAGAGTACAGAATGGGCTTTTCTAAATGTGCTTGCAGCTGTCTTTTTCTTTCCTAATCAAGTCCGTGGAGGAAGAGCTGTTGGCTCAGGCCAGCAGTCAGGACTTGTGTGCTGTGCTGTGCTCTCATCCTGTGTTGTCCTGCCGTCTGTCTAGAGCCAGCAGCTCTGTCACGTGCGGCTGTGCCTGTGCCGTGCTTGCAGGCGGCGCTACAGAAGTTTTTCAGGAAGAGGTCTGCAGCTTACCAGTTGTTCTAAAATTGCAACTTAAGCTAATTACTCTTAATATTTAATTTCCAGTTGGTACAGTTTAAGTGCTTTTTGAATTGGCATTTGTTTTGCTTCACTAAGTAAATCTGGGATGGTTTTCCTCGTGCTTCTTTGTAAAACAAATTGCCTCCTACCCATACCACTACACAGTATGTTTGTTCAATTGCTTAATCATAAATGAAGTTCTGAAGGGCTTTATGTTAAAGGAAATGAGCACTGGCTCTTGCATAAATCAATGCTGCTGTTGTCTGCGTTACACATTTCCTCTGCCTTGGCAATTTTTAAGATGAGGACAGAGGGAGACACATAGTTCTGGTCTCTTGCTCTAATTTCAAATGCTAGAGGACAGTCCAGCTGCTGGTGTTTGACTGGCACATTTTAAGCTGTTTACAAAGGAGAAGTTGTATTTCAAAATAAATGGTTAGCATGCTTTAATATGAGGAAAGCTAATTTCTGCAGGAACATCTTACCCTTCATTTGAGAGACATGTGGGCTCAGAGGTATTCCATGATATGTTGCATTCATCCTAGATCCTCCTTAGATAAAGCAGTCAAATACTTGCTGAGAGGAGGAAAAAATATTTACCTCAGAAAAGAGGGAAAACCATTTTCTAATTTCAATGAGAAATTTGCAGAAGGAGTGTTAATTACTGACCATCAGGAGCTGGAATATCTGGATAAAAGGAATGCTAAACTCACATTGCAACGAGATGTTTCAAACCCTGATTCAACAGAAAGTTTGTCAGAGGTGGAGGAGAGAGGTGATGTAACACAAAGTTAAAGGGAGCTAAAGTGCCAAAGATTGGTGTAGGTGGAGACACAGGTGAAGGTTGGCCCAGTGAATCCTTGTGTGGTTGGAAAGGCCGGGGGACTGCAGGAAAGTGATGTGTCCCTCTGTCTCTTGCCAGGCCTTTGCAACCCCAAATCTGTTTTTTCAGTAGGGTTAAATGGTACTCTGGAGAGAACAGATGATTATCTCTCTGGCTTGGTTGGCGTAGCAGAAGGCTTTAAAAAATATCCTATGTGAAGCTCTGGAAAAGCCTTCATTCCTGTGAAAAATAAGACCACACTTAGCATTAGCAGTCAGTGAAGAGTCTCAGGAACATCAGCCATTCACTTGATTTGCTTGTGACCTGTGGAAGGGAAGCTGTAGATAGTGGTTTTTTGTCACACTCATTAACTGTTTTAAAAAAAGGAAAACAGCCCAATGGTTATGTAGGAAAACTGGTAAATGATCAGTTAATGAAGAACATGTGTTAGGAAATACTTCTCTACAGCAACCACTACTCTCTTAACCTCTTGCAGCTGTAAAGGTTCTATTCCTTTATTTTTCACAAAACATTAAAAGACTGTGAGGGCAACACGAACAGGCAAGATGATCCCACTGGAGACTGCAATTTTCCGAGCAGAAAACTGAGGAGAACCCAAAATACAGGCAGTTGCTAAGAGGGTTGCCTGTTGTTCTCCCAATTACATTAGAGAGTAAAATGCAACATATGTCTTTCTCAGCTCTCCCTCCACATGGCTAATGCTTTGGGGCATGTATCCAGGTGCTGTCTCAACAAAAAGCACCGTATGCCAGGAGGTTTTGTTTCCTTTGGAAAGTATAACGTTTATGCTTTTTTTTTCCCCTTTGCATTTTTTTTTCCTGAGGTACAATTATCTGGTTTCATGTTTGTGGAGGCTAGAGAAGAGAACTGCACTTTTGCAGTACAGCATGTCTTTGTCATCTGACCTCCCTTGCCCTCAAACATGACTGCCAGCCCATCATCCCCCACCTCCTTCTGGGGGTGCATATATACATGTGGGTGCTGCCTCCTTTCTCCTTCCACCTCCTTCCCAGCTGAATTCTGCGTGACCCTGTGCACGTCAGAAGTCAGTGGCATACACTGACAATGATGTCATCTAGAATGTAATTACTTGGAGACTTTGTGGGAGCTGAACTTTATTCACAGGACAGCTGGGAGGTGTTTGCACAGTGCAGATGTTGGGCTGTGTTTAGGTGCTTGAGAGCCTGATCTGAGCCTGTGTCTCTGCTCCATCACCAGAGGCTGCGTGGGTGGTGTGCTGCAGGTCCCCCTGCACCAAGTGCAGGAGGTCAAGGCACAGTGCTGTGACCTTTGGGGCTGCTGGGGATGGGCAGTCTGTTGCTGAGCCAGGAGCCTAACCCTGAACATTCTCTCCTTCCTCTCTTCTCCTTAATGCAGGGGTTGGCACATCTTCATGCCCATCATGTGATTCACAGGGATATCAAAGGGCAAAATGTGTTATTAACAGAGAATGCAGAAGTGAAACTTGGTAAGTAGGCACACATGTCCATCTCCTCATTTGTTCAGCCTTTGGTTTTATGATGTTCCCAAATGATTTCATCCTTTAAGAGCCCTGCAACATGTTTTGTAGCATGAGTACTCTGTCAGTAGTTCTATGTGGATTGACAGCCTGTATGTATTTCCTCCTGCTTGCAGAGGATGGAGCCCAGGTTGTTGTTGAATTTGGTTAGGAGATGTTGGTTTTCATGCCAGAATCAGTGCAGGGATCATTTTGTTTCCCCTACTGAGCTGTGTGTAACTTGAGTCTGTTCTGATTCACTTTATTCTGGACTCGGGAAGTGACAGGAGTCTATCTTGTATTTAGCTTTAATTAAAATAGCACCTGCTGTTCAGGTTCTGGATACAAAAATATGATCTGGACAGCACTCTCAAGGGAACTGTGGCATTGAATTCAAAGCACAGTTCCAGCTCTGGCATGCCTGCTGAAAATCGTGCTCATCCCTGGCCTCTTCTCTCCTGCCAAGTGGACATACTCTTTTTTTATTTCCTCTCTAATTTGTCTCTTTCAGTTAGTGCACATGTCAACCTTCTGTGTTTGTATCACGCTACACTCGCCACCTTTTTTTGGTTAAATATAGAGCCATGCTGAAGCCCTCCCACCCAGCCCACATCCCTTCTGCTTTGCATTACACCTTCCTGCAGCATGAGGCATGGGAAGTTGTTGTGGCTGCTGGAGGAGGAAGCGCTTGGGAGAGCTTTCCTTCATTTGGTCCAAAATGGAGCACAGTAGCTTCCAAACCATTGCTTCCACTGAGCTTGTCTACACCAGTTCCTCAGATGTCACTCTGTGAGGCTGACACAGCCCTCTTAGGGCAGATGCAGTTACTGGTGTAGAGGGACATGTAGCACTGTGGTCTTGAGCAGGGCAAAATGAAAGGCAGAGAACACCTTTGTAATGTAATTGCTTTGTAATGAAATGGGCATCTCTTTCCCAGCCTGTGTGCATGTGTGCCCAAAGTTAGCACTTCCTGAATAATTCTCATCTTTTGCTCTCATTGATGTTTCTGCTCTGTGCATTAAAGCAGAGAGCAGCTCACTGAACAGCAGGTTATTTTTGCTGTCCAATTGTAGAGCAGAAAAAGTGGCGAGCTGAAAGGGGCGTGTTTATGCATGCCATTTCCCCATAGCATGAGAGGTACCTTTGGGAAGTGGCTGTTTTTTGTATAGGCAGAGGTACTTGGCTTCACCGTGTGGGAAGGGTCTAAACAGCCCTTTCTCAGCCTCCAGGCAGCACTTGTGCAACTGTGCTCTCCCTCCTGTCCTGGCACACCAGTGAGGGGCACAGGAGAGGGGACTGTGTGCTGCTGTGTCCCTTGACGCTTGTGCCCAAGCACATTGTGCGTGAACCACTAGGGCTCACTTGTCTCAGGATTAATCATCTTGTTTCTCTTCAGCATGGTCCTCCCATCTACAGGCCTTAGTTTTCAAATCACTTTGCAAAAGTAATCATTGTGTTATTTTCCCCCTCTTATTTCATTTTGCTCTTTTCCCACCTGCAGTGGATTTTGGTGTGAGTGCTCAGCTGGACAGGACAGTTGGCAGGAGAAACACTTTTATTGGGACTCCCTACTGGATGGCTCCAGAAGTTATTGCCTGTGATGAGAATCCAGATGCTACGTATGATTACAGAGTAAGAGTCCTGTTCAAAGAAAAAACCCAAAACACTTGCAGGATAAATGTCCATGGACTGTGGCAGTTTTTGAGATTTCTTATGCTTTGTAGGAGTAATAACTGTTTTGTGTAGTTACGTTCTTATTACCAAAGTACAAGGTAAGGATACTATCAAATTGTGACTTTTAACACTTTCTGCTGCTTGTATTATTGTCATTTTGAGATGTAAATACAGGACTTCAGGGTGCTGTAGGTGCTTAGAGAAGGCAAAAAAGAGTTTACCTGGAAATGCTTGTGTTCTCGATTTGCATAATGGTTGTACTTTAAATGTGTTACAGTGTGTCCCAGTTATTGTGGTAACCCAGAACAATACATTTTAGATGTTGCCTTAAATAGAACCACCGTCTGGAGAGCCACTGAAGTACAGAAGGAACTCTTAAAACTACTTCTGATTTCAGGATACATATACATGATTTTTTGGATAGAAATTTATCCATCACAACATTTCTTAACAAAGATCATTCTTTACGTAACTTGCTGCAAACCAAGGATTTAATTACTGCAAAACCATAATTGGCTTGATGGTATTTGCACTACCCTTAAGAATATTAGGTATATGTGCTTAAAGTTAAATATATCTAGTGAAAGCATACTGTAATCTTGAAAGTTCCTCTCAGCTGACTTTAATGAGAGCACAAGGAAAGAAACCTTTTTCTGGTTTTTAAGAAACCTTCATTTAGACTAATGTATTGTTCATCTTTAACCAAGGGCAACAAGGATACAAGAAAGCCAGAGATGAAGGCCTTACAATGAATTATAGAGTTGAATATCAATTATATCACTTTGCTGAGACTGATGGTGTTAGCTATCAGTACATTTGTGTGTGTCTAAATCTTTGTAAAAGACTCAGATTATTTGACATTTTGACTAAGATTGATCAGATTGATCCTATTTCTCTTGATTTAATTCCTTTTTACATTTAGCATCTCATTGTACTCAAGCTAATGTTTTATATCTTTCCAGATAGAGTTGTTATTATTAGTAAGGAGGGTTCGCTATTAAATGATTTAATTAAGCAGAAAAACTCCCTGCAATATTTGTTAATGCAGTAGTGATGTGAAAAATAGCTCTTCTCTCCTCTGAAAACACCTGTTTATTGTTCCTGGTGGAGCCTGTAGGGTGGTTGTTCACAAAAAATTATTGTTTGAAAGGTTCTCTAAGATCATGGGGATGTGCACTTTAGCTTAGATGGCTGCATTTGACTAAGAGAGGAGTGCCTTGCTGGATCTGAAAATCTGATCTTTAGAAATGCTTCTTTGCTTGTAATGCATGAAGAGCTTATTTGCTCATTAAAGTAATTTTTAAAAAAATCACAATTATGACCAGAAATGATGACTGCTTTGCTCAAGAACAGCTCTCTTTCACAGCAGTCTGCTCCAATACTTTGCCCATTAAGCTGTGTCACTCTCTGAAGTTGGTTCCTTGCCAGGACTCCTCCATCTCTTCCCTGTGTTTGATCTTCCTGGCTCTTGTTTGGTCTCTCCTGAGACAGAGGTGCTGGCCAGAGGTGCTATCTTGAAAAGTTGCCACTGAAGGGCTCTTTTTCTGTAGCGTTTTAAGCAAAGCTGAGGTGTTAGGGGAGAAATGTTGGCTTTGGCTGCAAGTAATGCCTGTGGTAAAGACAGAGGTGTAAATTTTGGGAGTCTGTGGTAAAGACAGAGGTGTAAGTTTTGGGAACCTCTGCCTTTTCAGTGGTGTTAGTGACTAATTCACCTCTCCTTTCAGTGGGCCTGTATTTTCCTTTTGTTTTTGCTTGTTTATTTATGTACCTGAAGAACCCTTCCTTGCAGTTTTCAACAAGTCTGGCCACTTTAAATTTGAGCTGAGTTTTTGCTTTTATAACTGCATCTCTGCACACCCTGGGAATGCCCTTGTTCAGTTCTTTGTTGACAAGGGAATATTGAAAATTCTGTTGTTTCGTAGGCTTAAATTTCTGGCAAATGTATTTCCCATTGTCATAATGTGAATGTATTTTTATGTGCTCTTGGAAAGGTTTGTTTGCTCACTCAATAAGAATACGTGCGTGTGTTTCTGCATATACATACGTATTATGTGTAAAGTAGGATTTTATGATACAGTTACAAGATGAAAGAGGCTTATATTATTTAAATAGCCGTGGTATTTGGTTTCAGCCTCACCTACAGGGCCCCACTAAATAGTGCTCTCTTAGTGTGTGAATGGGTAAATCCACCTACTAACATATGGTGTTTCTGTTTTTCTGCAGAGTGACCTTTGGTCCTGCGGCATTACGGCCATAGAGATGGCAGAAGGAGCTCCCCGTAAGTGATCCCTGTGCTTCTCCAGTGGGCTCGTTTTAGGGCTGAAACGTATACTTGGGTGATGCTGCTTGTAATCTAAGCCTAGTTTTGAGGTTTCTGAAAATATCCCCATGTTATTTCTGTTCTCTTTGGTTTTGCCTGCTCTATAAATACGAAATCCCATAAATAGCAATGCTTTTGATAAAGATGGGGTTGTGTTTAAACACTACAGTGCAGACTGCAGTAATTTAATTTCTATAGCAGGAATATTTGGAAGCTAATCGAGTGTCTGACTTCCTTCCTATTGGTAGTATATTGTGTTTTGGAGCTGTGTCCCACTTTGTCTATGGACTGGCCTGGAATACTGAAACCTCAGCTGGGGAGAGGGTCAGTGGGGCCTTGAGGAAACAGATCTTAATGAAAAAAGCATTTGTAGCAGCTATTTCTGTGTTGGCTTTCTGTCGGTCTGGATAATGCTAACATTGCTTCTCCTTTTGTTTCCACTCATCAGTGGGTGGTGTTAATCTTCCTTAGCAGTGACATGGCTTAAACTGTAAATCCTTCTTCAGGACAAAGCACTGAACTTAGATATTCTCAAGCAGGGATCATTATCAGTTAGTTTGGATTTGAGAGGAAAACCTGGAAACCAAAAATGCTCAACTTTTTAATAGGCTCTTTTCCTTTCACATAGTTCTTTCAGAATATAAAGGCAAACAGCGGATGTGTGAGGAGGACAGAAACCTTTGAAAAGAAAAGAAGTTAGGCATGGAGTTATGACTTTTAATGATAATTTTTATGAAAGTCCTTATTGATCTTGCAAGTATGCTTACCCTCACCCTCAGCTGGAGCTCTGTATTTAAAAAATAAGAATCTAAGGTACCTAAGAGCAAGTTAATTTTTTTGCACATAAAAATCTATGATCACAACACAGCCCAGTTTGAAATGTCCTTGAAATAATCTTGTAGAAATAAAGTATTGATATTTCCCAGGTAAAAATTGGTCATTTTGTTGTAGCTACTGCCTGATTTTCTTGTTGTTCTTATTGACTTTAATGCAAGATTTCAAAGTCAAATCACAATGATCATGTGTTGATTCATGTTTTAGGAGGCCTGATAGTTTGGGGTTGTTTTCTTTTTCCTTCCTAATTGCACATTTGCATGAATGTCCAAGTGAGAGCTGCTCCCAGGGCACTTTAGCCAGCACTGTATTAAGTGAACTACCTCCTTTTTGCCATCCCTTTTTGTTCAGTGCATTGGGTTGCCTGTATGGCTTTGTAAGCCTAGAATTGGACAATATTTTGTTCATTTCTAGACCAAACAGAGCTTGGCCCTTCTTTGTGTAAAAGCACAAATGTAGCATTTAAGAAGTTAGCAAAGATCCTCTGTAAGTGCAGAACAGCTCTTGTCCTCTGGTGCATGGACTCTACCTCCTCGTCCTCCTGTGGCAGCTGAGAGTCCATCTCTATGGATTCTTTGGTGTGGTCTACAGGGATCCACAGGCATCCAAGGGGCTTCTTTGCCAAGACTGATGCCCCTTATTTTTGAGCTAGAATTCTCTTCCCACTAGTCTGTTTCTCCTGAATATCAGTTGTGTGGTAAATGTCACCTCAACCTGCAGTGATCACTCAGGCTGAAACTGAGGGTGTAAAAGATCAGACATAGGAAGATGGTTAGAACATTGCTCCTAGAGGCCTTTCTTGGGCTGCCTCTCTCCCTGCTCCCTTGTTTCCCTGTGTTGGCTCTGCCATATTGCTTTACTATGGAACAGGAGGAAAAGCTGTCCCACGTTGATCCTGGACTCCACTGAATGCCCACTGAAACAAACAGGACTTCTTTGGACAAAAGTTAGGAGTTTGCATTTCAGTTCTGCAGACAGTCCTTTTGAGTGATACAGACCCTCCCATGCTTCTGTCATACCTTGAAGTACCAAAATATCCAGGTCTGGAGAGTAAAAATGAAGCACCCTCAATAATGGTAGAGAAGGGCCAGTAGAGGAAGGAAGGGCAGGCAAAGGAAGATTGTGTGGAACAGTAACTCTCATTGTTCCCTTCCACCATCATCATCTCCCAGTATTTTGTTGACCAGAAAGTAAGTCAGATGACTTGGGCTGGAGGAGGGCCATGCTCAGATGTTCCCATCTTGGTCAGTTCTGGAGGCTGATCCGTGCTTTGACCTCTTTCTCTTTTTGGGCTGCCATTGGCACATTGAGCTATGGAATTGTTGTCATTTTGGGCTAATTCCATTTAGCTGTGTTGCTGTCTGTACCTACTGCATGGATGTTTGGGATGGTGGAAGTGGTTGTGGAAGCTCAAGTCTTGGCATTGACAGCGAGCAGCTAAACCAGTGTCTCCATGTCTCTGTTTGCTTTTGTTTTCTTCCCTTCAGCACTTTGTGACATGCACCCCATGAGGGCACTCTTTCTGATACCCAGGAACCCTCCCCCACGGTTAAAATCCAAGAAATGGTATGTATTAATTATATCTTGTCTTGTGTAGCATGAAGTTTTCTCATATCGCATAGTTTTGTTACCCCTTCCACAGAATTGTAAGGCAATTTAAGTTAGCAAAATCTCTGTTATCTTTTGTGCCTCTGAATCAAAGGATGAAATAAAATTCATGCATTATTTAGTTCTGTTTGTCCCAGAGAAATTCCATCTCAAATTGCGTGAAAATAAATACCAAAGTTTTTGGATTTTCTTTTTCAGTAGAGCAGCATCTGTATTAACGTGACAAATGGATCCATGTTTTAAAATATGGACTCCTGTAGCACTCTTAATATGCAGCGTGTTTTCTCAGATGTATCATAACACAGAAACAGAACAGTGCTATGGCGTTCTAGTTGCTAAATAGAAAGGAGCTATTAAAACTAATGAAGGCTTTTACTATAATTATTGTAAACGGTTGGAATTGAGTGCCTGCTTCTTGCCAGCTGAGAAGAATCCATTAGTATCAGAGGATTTCCTCCCAGTTACTGGTTACAACAGGCACATATGAAACAAAAATACTCTGTAGAAAGAGGTTTCTTATCGATAGAATGGGATCATGGGGTGCTGTGATCCTGTCAAAATAATGAAGTGATTGGACTACGTATTCAATATTAACACAGTATAAACATGTCTTACTTACTGGGCTTGGTCTTTACCTGGATTGACTTATTTATGCACTTGTATACTGTCAAGGCATTGCTCTCTTACTTGCCTTCTGCATATATTAAGAGAATAGAGATGCGTATGTGCCATTTGCATTAGCCATTCATTGACCTTTTTATGTGAAATAATGACATTCAGAGTGTGAGGAATAAAAAAATCTGAGCATCCAAGTTTTGTTGGATTCAGCCTTTTTTATTGCAGTAGGGAAGCGAACTGATGGATGGAAATGATTGTTTTTCCTCTTAAGCATGTAGTGAGGGTGTTTGCTCTCCAAGCACTGGAGCAGGTTGAGAGCACATACCAGTTAAAAAGCAGCTCTGCTCCAAGGCAGTGTTGCTGTCACTCAGCTGTTTTGATAGCTTGCTCAGGTGCAGGTAACGAGAAGAGAGGCCAAATGATGACAAAGTTGTACAATTGTCATAGAATGGCTTGGGTTGGGACCTTAGAGATCATCTAGTTCCAAACCCTGCCATGGACAGGGATGCCATCCACTAGTTCAGGTAGCTCAGAAACCCATCCAACCTGGCATTGCATGCTTCCAGGAATGGGGCATCCACAACTTCTCTGGGCAACTTGTTCAGTGCTTCATTGTGGTTTTGAGTATTTCCACTGTTGGATTTTGGCAGGTGGCTTGTTTGGTGACTTCTTTCTGCAGAGATCCCCTTTCAAGAGTTCGAATGAAGTGCAGATTTTGGAAGGGTGGTGCTGCAGGTTACCTAACTCCCATGCCCTGTCAGTTTATTCTGCGTGCAGGGGGGGGTTAGTTTAGTTCATGCCCTTAAATTATGTCAGAGACTCAAAGTGCCTTTGTTAAGCAGACAAACACTGACCAACACCCACCTCTAGTTCTGTAAAAATTTTTTTGTGTGTGAGTCTTAAGGTAAAAGATAAAATAATCTTAAATTCTGGCAAATCTAACTCTGTGAACCCAGGTGCATGTAGAAGCAGTGTGGTGCTGCTTGTGTCAGGAGAATGGCAGACATTCAGTTCTCCTGACTTTGGGAATAGCTGTCTGTAGCATGGATAAGTGGAGGTACACCAGGGCTGCCCTGCCTCCTCCAAGCAGGCTGGATTCTATCCAGCTCTGATCCAGACGCATCTAGGCTGGGTTTACATGATTTACCTGACTCACAGATCCTGCCTTTCAGAGCAGATATCCTTCTGAAAGAGGGCACGTTACAGGCTGTGCCTGGATGCTCCAAGAATGTTCATGTCACCCTGTGTCTCTCCAGCCCTGTGTCACCCCAGCCCAGTGCTCAGCTGGAGCACACAGATCTGTTCAGGAGGTACCCTTGCAGGCAGCACTTGTACTGTTCTCTGGGACATGATGCTCTTGGAGGAAATTAATTTGAGGAAGGACAGGAAAAATGTTTCATCTGAGTTTTACCTCTCATCTTTTGCTTTTTTTTCCCTTCCTGCTTTCTCAGGTCAAAAAAGTTTTTCAGCTTTATAGAAGGTTGTCTAGTGAAGAATTACATGCAGAGACCTTCTACAGAACAGCTGTTGAAGCATCCCTTTATACGTGACCAGCCAAATGAAAGGCAAGTCCGAATCCAGCTTAAGGACCATATAGACAGGACCAGGAAGAAGAGAGGAGAAAAAGGTATGCAGCTTCTAAAAATCAAGTCTTTGCCACTTGTCAAAAATGCATGTTTTTGTCTTGCTTTGCATTCTAAATACCCACTCCAAGAGAAGCTCCTATAGCACAAATCCTTAAAAAGTTCTTTTTAAATTCATAGTTTGACTATCAGAAGGCTCCGTTTTGTTCTGTCCTTTACAGAGAAAGTATAAATTTCAAGTGCTGTATTTTCTGATGGATTAAATTTGCTCACTTGCTGGCCACTCTTCCATACAAGCATTAAACAGCATTTAAGAGGATATTGGCATGTATGCCTTTCCCTTCTTTAGTCTGTGGTAGAATAATTTCCTGGAATGATGCCATAAATCAGACTCACAGGAAATAACCCATCAAAAGAGCTGTGAAGCAAATGTTTTGGGCAGCCTTTTCTCCTTATTCAGGTGGTGCTGAAGTTCTCCAGATGTCTTGTCTTGCATGTAAAACCTGGTGTTGTTCAGGGAGTTTGCTGGAAGTCTTCTCCAAACCACTGTGTCACTGGGAAGATGAGCTTATATATGTAGAATGAGTTCTAGGGTCTGTGATGGATCTTCTCACTGAAGGGGACAGGAGCTGGTTTGCTGAGGTGCTGCTGCATGCAATGCCCCACTGCCCTGAAATTAAAGTACTATCCAGGCCTTTGTTTCTTTCCTGTTAGATGAGACGGAGTATGAATATAGTGGAAGTGAGGAAGAAGAGGAGGAAGTGCCTGAACAAGAAGGAGAGCCAAGGTAATAATTGCTTTTGGGATGGCTTTGGGCAGACCATGCTGAGTAAGTCTAAAGGTCTGTGATTATAAATCAGCATGCTAAATTTCTGTCTCTTATTAAGTGAATGCACAAACCACTCAAAGAGTTTGAATACCTATGCTGTGACTGTTAAAGGTTTGAAAGCTTCCCTTCCTATGACTTGGAGCAAACAAGCTTTGGATTTATGGCAGATATGATTGATCAGGGTCTCCGCAGTGTTAGCATTCGTCCTTACTTTGCTTGGCCTCATTTCACACCTTCCACTGAGAGCATGTATTTGACATACATCCAGTGTCTTTGCTCCAAAAGAAACGAGATTAAACTTTAACATCATGATATATTTTATTAATGTTCCCCTGCTTTGGCAAAGGTATTTAATGGTCCATCAGGCTTTATCATACCGAAGGCTTTAACTTTCTCTTGTTGCAGTTCCATTGTCAATGTGCCTGGAGAATCAACCCTCCGACGTGATTTCCTGAGACTGCAGCAGGAGAACAAGGAACGGTCCGAGGCCCTTCGGAGGCAGCAGCTGCTGCAGGAGCAGCAGCTCCGTGAGCAGGAGGAGTACAAGAGGCAGCTGCTGGCAGAGAGGCAGAAACGCATTGAGCAGCAGAAGGAGCAGAGGAGGCGGCTGGAAGAGGTAGAAACAGGAGACTGGAGTTTGGGGGGACAGAAGCCCCTCTCCCCCTCTTGTTTCCCATTCCTGCACTCATTTAAAAAGAATTCCTTGTAGCCCCCAGGATATCTCAGGAAAGAAAACATCATGTGAAAATCCACCTCTAAACATAGAGCTCAGCGCTTAAATCCATGATTGGGTACTTGAATATAAGATATCTTCCAAAGCATTTGAATATCCAGCAGCTCCTGTGAAGACAACAGGAGCCAGAGCTGGGTTGTTTGAAGGCGTTTTTTGTGGAAGTGGCTCATTCTTGGTCTTTGTCTAGGCTTAGGTAGACAGAAGAGGAGACATAAATTATTCCCAGGTGGATTTTTCTCTCAAGAGTATTGTTTTGGGGGCCGTAACATTTTTCAGATTTCCCTTTAAAGCTTTCTCAAACATGTGTTTGGCACTCATTCATGCTAGATGGAAGCCTGTTTTTTAATGTATTATTCTCTCATGAGCAGTGGCTTAGTGACTAAAAACCACCTAGATCATAAAATAATAGAATTATTTGGATTGGAAGGGGCCTTTAAAGGTAGATCTAGACATAATTTCGTAAATCAGTGTTAAAATTATAATTCTGCAGGAATTACAAATACATAAATCATACTTTTGTGATACAGTAAGTATGCAATTTCTATACAGTACTGGAAGATAAAAGAATGTATGTGGACAATATTGTTCTGTCATACTTTTCACCTCCTAAGATCTCATGTGCATTTATGTATATATGTAGATGGAAAATGCAGCATGAGCTTCAGAAGTAGGAGGATTTCAAAACAGCTCTTCAGGCCAGAGCTGGGTATGACACAGAGTTGAAGTGAAACCAATGCTCTGGCTCTTCAGGAAGTGCAGAGTCAAATTCCAGTTGTCCTTAAATGACCTCTTGCTTGAGTCTGTTTCAACCTTTCACATAGCAGTGATGGAAAAGCTACACCCAGTCTGGTTTTCCAAATCCTGGTAACGTTTAATGAGGATGCAACCAGGACCAAATGTTGATTTGCATCCCGTGACCTGTTTGCATAACAAGTAATACAAAGTTCCAAATACCTTTCCAGGTCACATTATGCTCCTTATCCCTCTTTTCCAAAGTGCAAATGAGTTTAGTGCTGCTATAAGGAGGGATTGGTAGCTAAGATTCAGCCACGCATGAATCCATAAGGAGGAATGAGGGGAAGGCATATAAACCCCATTTCTCTTCTGTTTCTTTTCCACCCTTCAGAGAATGCTAAGATAAACCTCATAGCACTAAAAACTAAACTGTTTTTAGACTGTTTGTGGGGGGAGTAAGTAGTAAAAAAAGATACTAGAAAAAAATGAAAATAAAAGATAGTTGTTGTCAAAGGTGGGCAAAAGTTGAGCTACTGTTTAACTGCTCAGATTTTTCTTAGTATGGCAGTCAATGATTATTTTAAATGCCCCCTTAATCTCTAAGGTTCTGCAGGCAGTATTTTTTTGTTGAGGAAGAGGATTACAATTAAATTATCTAGGTCATTTAACTTTAGTAATCAGTGCAACTCTTAAAATCTGGATTTTCTTTTTAAAATAAAGGAGCTGCTGCTGCCAGTAGTGGAAACAAAGCAATGCACCATTTTCTCTGTGTGGGTTGAACTTTTTGGGGATGTTGCAGTTATAACAGAATGAGCAAGTAGAAAGAAAAGGCAGTTACCTGAAAGTTATGTTTAATAAGTCCTGCTTTTTAAAATCCAAAATAAAACTGACAGCTTCCACAACCACACGACAACATGTAATGTAAATTGTATTACTGAATAAGGTTGCATGGTAAAACGTAAAATTTGTAACATCAAAGCTTTTTACCTTGTATGGGTCTGTAACCTCTGCCTGGTTCCTTGGAGGCATAAATAGGAATGAGTTATAAAATAAGTGAGTTTAAAAAGTTTCCTTTTGCAGGTGATGGTGTAGGCATATTGTTCATCAAGTGCATTAAAGAAAAGACTCACATTTAGCTTTCAAAAAAATCCCACTTAGTTAATTGGATCTTGTGTTGGAAAAATGTATGATCCCAAGTGGTTTTCAACAAAACAGCAGCCAAAACAAGCTCTTTCAGATGGGGGAAGGGTAGTAGACACAAATTTAGATAAACATCAGTGTTGTGACACAATTGAAGGCCAAAATATTGAAATGTTGTCACTTTGTCCTTAACTCACCCCCCCTGTTTTGATGAAGCCAGTAAACAATGAGGAGCTTGATAATGGGAGTCAAGATTAATGTCAGGCGTTGAAGCTCAGGGCGTTCATAAATGAGTTGATATTTTTACCAGACTTGCTGTCTCATAATTTTTGCTTGTGTAAAGTATGTATGCATATACCTATTTAATATTCTCTGGTAGAATTTTATGCATTAGATAATCTTTCTGAACAAGTTGCATATACTTCCCCCCCCTCCCCACTTCCTAAATTAAAATTGAGGGCTTGTTCTTACAATGCTGGCACAGAGCCCAGACAGTTTTGACCGAGACTGTAACAGGAACGGTGTTTAGGACATCTGCCAAAAACTCTAATTCTCAGCAGTATTAGAGAAAAGATTACTTTTTAAAAGGCATATAGGTGACTTCTAAAAGTTGTTGTTGCAGGAACCTTGTAGTTTGTGTCTTGCTGAGGAGGTGAAAATGACATGTGGTCAAACTACAGAAAATAACGTGAGGATTTTGCGACTGGGATTTTGTCCCACCCCCAAGCCTTGTTTAAAAGACATATAAAGACTGTCAACTATGTAGGTGTTTAGCTAGTTTAAACAAGAAATCTGACCTGCTCCTGGCTGTTTTAATGGGATTCTGTGATTCTATTCAGCAACGTGGAGACAACTGCTGAGTATGAGAAGGCATTTGGATTTGTACTTGCAAAACTGAGTCTGACTCAGGAAGCTAAAAATTGGCTGTGCTGGAATCCCATTCTCTGTGCACCTCCACAGTTCAGGATAGCTGCATTAAATGGTGTCTCTGTCCCTGGTTATGAGAACCTAAGATGGATGTTTTTGAAGTGGTAGGTTATAGCTACACTGGCAAGTAATCCAGTCCTATAGAAGCAGATTGTGGAGCACAATAATTAAAGTGCTGAGGACCTGAAGACTTCATGTGTTTAAAGACAGGAGGAATTCCTTTGGACTGGCTGAGGTCTAGACTCTGTGCCTGCTTGTGGTTGGAGTGCATCAGCCCTTTTAATTTCATCCAAAAGGTGTGGTTGGCACTCCAAGACATCTCCAGAATACGAAACAAAACTGGATAAGTGGAGATGTTTGGATGATTCACTTCAAAAGAGCACTCCTGATCTGAACCAAGATGCTAATGTAGGTGTACCTGCAGGCAATTTTTGCCAGGGCTTTATTTCTTTTACAGAAGTGAGGAGCTTATTCTTATCTACTTAATTTGAATTGCTTGCATCTTGGATTGGTACTGAGTAAGAAGTTCTACTTCTGGTTTACCTCTAGTGTGGACAAAGCAAAAATCTCTTTATTAATCTTGCCGATTCTCTTTCTAAGCTGATACCAGGCTGCCTAATTCTTTGTGAAAGAAATAATTAATATAGGTATCATCAGTCTTCTTTTGAATATGAGACATAGTAATAATATTTTAGGAATTTAAAATTAAAGGATCTGTATCTATCTTGAGCATTTCACTGTAGGAAGAAGGGCCTGAATTCGTTGGTGTAGATGAACTGCCTGTGTAGTTGCATTGCCCCCTCCTGGTAAATTGTACTCTACTGCATGGACTTCCAGTTTGGAGATGTCAGGTTCCATTATGAGATCATTATTATTGCACCCTAAAACCAAATAAGGAGCATGGGTATTGACACTGTATTTTCTTTGTGGGTTTTAAAAATGTTGTTTGCATAGTAAATGCCCATTTTGTGACATGCAGTAAGTTGAGGCAGTATGGGCTCTGCCAAAATTCTGTTTTGGCATGTCTGACATTTCTTTGAAGAGTTCTTGCCTTACTTTCTGGGTAACAGTTTGCTCCTTGGAAATAAGCTTTTCATCTGCCATGTGCAAGAAAGTTGGTAATACTGTACCAACTTTAGAAGATCTGCATATGCATCCCTAAATTCAGGAATCTTGATCTATACCTGCTGTTTCTTGGACAGCAGTATTTTTTTTTTGTAGTGCATGACCAAAAATTACAGTATCTGACAATCACACAAACTAAATTTAGAAGGCAAATTTTTATATGTAGAAATATGACATTGATTTTAATGAATGGTTTTCCCTGTCCCATTCCTGTCCTGTGGGCAGGCCTAAGGCACACAGTGATCAGGTTTGGTGTCCTCATGGAAGAGTTGCTAGAGCCAGTCAGGAAGGCAGCCATGTGCCAACAGATGGATGCAAGAAAGTCAGTATAGGGCTGGCTCTGAAGCCAGATTGGGTCAACTCAACTTGCTACAAACCATTTTTGGCATTGCTTTGACAAGTTGTGCACCAGGACCCAAGGGATGGTTGTCACTGTAGGTTTCCTCTCCGTGGGCGTGTTAAAAGTAAATTCCACTTCACTTAATGACCACTGGTTTGATGCTGAGGTTTCAAAGGCCACATGCAAAGGAAGTGAAACCTTTATTATACATTTAGGGCTGGGAATAAGAGGATCATGCAGTGTGTTTGTGCAGGCTCCTGCAGTGCTGGGTACCTCCCTTCCCACTCACCTGGCAGGAGGCTGAGACAGTGTCTGATGGGAAGGTGGAAGTGATGCTGAGAATCCTGATCTCCCTGCCTACTTTGGCACATAGACAGTAGCACATTTGTGAGATTTGTCTTAAATCCATTTTCCCTGTCTATTCCTTTGCTGGGTAATAAATATCTGCTGATGTGCTGAGTTAGATATCTGGATCAAGGTTTCATTAAAAATCTCATCTTTTGACAATTGACTTTGTTTATTTTGTGCTGCCATGGGAAACTAGCTCTCTTAATCAGTTTGTAGCTCATTTTTCCTCATATTAAGTTCAGTTATTTATAATTATTGCTGAATACTTCTGAATTAATTCAAGAAGCCATGAATTTGCCCGTCTTCCTTGTGGTGAGAATGATGCCATCCTGAGATCTGCAATATCCACTTAACAATGTCAACACAATATTGTTTGAGTTGATAAATGTGCATATTATATTAACCAGTCAGCAGTGTGCTGTCTCTTGCATCCTCAAGGCAACAGAATTATAGTACTTCACGTCTTAGTTTTTCTTAAACAAAAGCCTGTCAGACTTGATTAGCCAAGAAGGACCTGAATATATTGACTTAAATGTAGCATTTGCTTGACACTGAGGCATATATTCAGAAATAAAAGTGCCTACTTAATCCTTTTACAGTGCTTAAAAAATGAAGGAGGGGAAGCAGTGAAACCTATGAAATGCACCGTGTGCCGTAGCTGCCTTGCAGCCCTTTTGCTATTTTTATATCTACATTCATTGAGGAGAGTTGGCTTAAGCACGAGTGAAAAGTCTGGTAAATGGATTTAGTTAGAAGAGATGCAAGAGCAAGGAAGCTGTGTTTCTGAGAAGATCCAGAAAGAAAGTGTGGGGGATAAAAGAGTTTGTCTTGTGGCACAGGAAGGTGGTAGTGAACCCAGCGTGATGCTGTGGGCCAGGGAAGAGGGCATGATAGTTACAGCGTGGGTGTGTTTCAACAGTGGTCTCCAGGAAAGTCACATCTTCCCCCAAACTGTAGTTAATGAAAGAGAATTGGAAAGCAGCCTGTATTATTTAAGTGCTACTAATTGGTGGAATCACAGAATGGTTTGTGTAGGAAGGACCTTTAAAAACCATCCTGCTCTAACTTCCTGGCCATGGGCAGGGGACATCTTTCAGTGCTCAAAGCCCCATCCAGCCTAGCCTTGAACACTGCCAGGGATGGGACATCCACAATTTCTCTTGGCAGAAAAGCTCAGAAAACCCAAGAGCCATTTTTTTCCTCCCCCCTAGTATTTCTTCTCCACTGTCATGTCAGAACAGATTCCAGAAGATGGAAAGGCTGTTGGTATTTCAGTTCCTTCATAGTAATGCAGGAAAATGTTCCAAGCAGAGAAAGCTCATCCCACGAAGTAACACAGCAAGTGTAGATCAGCCTTTGCTTTTTCAGTTGAGCACAACTATGAAACTCACACCAGTAACTGGATCTGTGAACCCAAAGTAAAGCTTAGTGTGAGTGCTCTTTCTTGCTGGACTATTTGAAGTATCTTAACATAGACAAATCTGTGGCAGCTTTGCTCCAACAGAAATTTGGGATAGTATTAACCTTAACATAAACGTGATGATGAATAACCAATGTATGTTTTCATTTTTGTTCTTGGGATTAAATTTGTGTGGGCTATTTTTTGGTTTACATTTCTTCCATTTTTTTTTTAGTATGTTATAGAAACCTATAAAGAAAGAAATGTAGTGATATTCCCAGTTGATGGTTGAACAGGAGACAGCTGGGTCTTTTGACACTTAGGCAGTTGTGGGAGGCTGCCTGGGATTTCGAAGTAGGTGGAGTAACTGGATGCTTATGCTGGAGTGCAGGAAGAATTGGTCACGACTACATGGGCATCTAAAATGTCTTCTCTGAAGTCATATATGGTGCTCCATAGACATAAATGAGTCAGTTCATGCTTTCGAGAGCTGTTTTCCAGGTTCTTTTCAGACTTGAGCACACCTAATCAGCACCTGTTTGTATTTGGGTCATGTGTGGAAGCTTATCTGTGTAAGTGTAAATCTTACTTAGCTGCTTTTCCTCTTTTACATAAAGGTGCATTTGATGTTTTGGGAGGAGCTAAGGTGCTGTTGGCCAGCCCTCCTTCTCTCTTAGGCAAAGCTTTGGGCAGTGCATGAAATTAAGCTTGATTGTTGGGCCAACACTACAAAATTCTTAGCAGACCAACTGTTTTAAGAGGCAAGCTACTTAGGGAAAGTTCAGATAGTTGGCATTTGAGTTAGCTGATTTAGTAGGGCTGATCACTCCATTTTGGCAACAAGTAGGCTATTGATGTCAAGTTGTCATCTCTTGAGTTCAACAGTTGTTTGAGGATTGGTGTTTGTGTTAGCCTTTTTTGAAGAAAGGAGTGAGTTTCCACACCTCGATTGTCATCAGGAATATGGTGCATGACATTTTGTGTGTGCATGAAGAAACCAGAGAGTCTAAGTGAGGCTGCTTCTAGGAATAGATGTGTGCTGGGTATGAGTTTGGTTTCCTGGTGGAGCACTTGCATAAACTGTTTTGTCACTGAGTTGCAGAGCTTGCTAGTCCTGGTAAATCCCGCTCTTCACCATAGAAAACAACCCCACCTCTTTCTTTGATAACAACAAAAGTAAAACTCTGTGGTTTCTTTTCCCTTTTTGTAGCAACAAAGAAGAGAAAGGGAAGCTCGAAGGCAACAAGAGCGTGAGCAAAGGCGGAGAGAACAGGAGGAAAAAAGACGTCTGGAAGAAATGGAGAGGAGGCGTAAGGAGGAGGAAGAGAGAAGAAGAGCAGAGGAGGAAAAGAGGAGGGTAGAAAGGGAGCAGGTGAGTCTATGATACAGATATATGTGCAATAAGTTTGTTTCTTCTAAATTCTAATTTAATTTTTAAAAAAGTGGTAAGCCTAAATCAGCTTAGAGGCAATGTAACACTAACTCTTTCATCTTTGTTGTTTTTGACAGCAAGTGCACTAACATAGGATTCTAGGGCTTTATGGAAAATTCTGGCAGCCTCAATATTCTCTCAAAAAAAGAAGTCTTGTTGCAGTACTCATTCTAAATTCAGTTCATGCCCCTGGGCTGGACTAAAATCACCAGAATTGGCAAAATCATGACTGGGACTGAAAACTGTTTCTAGGCTTGTCTTGCTGGATCAGTGGTTCTTGCAGGACATGCCCCTGATCAGAAGGCCTCCCAAGAGAAGGGTAGCTCTGTTGCGTGTCAACTTCTGGCACACAGAATTGGTCACTGGCATGAACTTTGTGTACTCTGAAGTAGTACACAAGTTTGAGATGGAATCTTTGAGCTGCACAGGATTTTCCATCCTAAAACTTCAATATGCAATTTCCCTCTCTTATTCTGTTTAAAATCAGTAAAGTATGCCCATTCAGGCAACAAGTATATCTTAAGTTATGCCAGTGTGCCCTTAATACATTGAAAGTACAACTGAGAGACTTGTTAAACTGTGAAATTCAGCTGCTATATTTATGCATGAAATCTGCATGTTTTAAAATCCTTTAATAACTTCAATCAGGGTGATAATCAGAGCAATACTTACTGTGCATGTACTGCAAAATGCTGATTGCAAATAAAGGGCCAAAATTTCTGTCTTAGAGGCTGATTGATTGTAAATTTCCCATTAACTTCAGGAATGCTGGGTTTGGCCTGACATACCTTAATTTTTTCTTACATAAATTCACTGTATTGAGATCACTGATGATTGTGTTACTGGGAAATTTTATTGTGTTTGTCTATGTTTCAAAGATTCTTGAGTCAAAAGGAGAGAAGACTAACCAATGGGAATAAATATATGGAAAATCTCTAATTACAGCATAGCAATTTGCTTTTGGGCAGACACCGGGTATTCCCCCAGCTGCTTTTTAAACTGTTGAAATGCTAATTACGCACAGTGCCAGTAATGACAAATGGTTAATTGGTGTGGCCAAGCTGAACCACTCTGAATTTCTATTCTTTTTTTTAGAAGAAAAGACACATTCCCTCTTAGAATTTTTGTTAACTCAAACTGTGGCTCAGCCAATGTGCGTAACAGCAGTATGGTGTATCTCATCAGTCTGTCACAAGACTTTCTATAACTCCCATCACCGTATCACTGATCCATTAATTTCTTTATGCATACACTGTAAATGTGTGCGTGTGCTTGTGTGTGTGCGCATGCACATGTTACATACTTCCATTAATTGCATGATAGGATGTTACCAGCTTGGGTTTGGTGCTTCAGAGTTTGAGTTCTTCTAGGGGTAGGTGAAGCGAGGGTAAATGTCTTGACCTGTTGAGGCTGCAGGTGAAGAGGTGGCTAGATGGCAAGAGCAAGCGAGTTTGGTCTAATTTCTGTTTCCTGGTGGATGTTTGTTTGTGTCATAACCATCGCATAATTCAGCAAGGCTGGCAGTGTTTGCTCAGGAGAGGCTTCTGGTGAGGGCAGCAGGGGAGACTTGGCAGGGCAGGTCCCAACTGCACTTGGCAGAGCCCGTTTGGGGGAGCTTGCTCCAGCTCTGCCTACACTATGCCTGGCTCTAGCTGTTGCTAACAGTTCATCGCACCAGTGCAACACACTAATGTTTAATACAACTTGCATGTGACTTTGTATTGGCTGTGTTGAGTCAGACTTGCTGTGTTTTAACTTACCAAAACCTTCAAGTGCATTTTGCTGCTTCTTGAAACCACTTCCAAAATACATAAATGAGCACTGGCCTGTGCCGGCAACATTTGCAGGAGTGCACATTTCAGAACAGGAGGGGCCAAAATGTAATGCTCAGGAGGCAGAGCTTCCTAAATTGTTCTGCAGGCACTAATCCATCCTGAAGTGAGTTTCTCATAAAGCTGAACTGGGGAAGTAGCGTGTGGTGTTCCACCCAGGGGGTTCTGATGCATTCCTTTTGAATAAATTTATTGCTGGGTAATTTCTATGTGACAGGAGTATATCAGGCGACAGCTAGAAGAGGAGCAGCGGCACTTGGAAATTCTACAGCAGCAGCTGCTCCAGGAGCAGGCCATGTTACTGGTAAAGCACTGTATCTGTTTTGTTCAGTAGCTATAGGATCCATTTATCCAGCCAGTCCTAGGCTTCCCTCAGTCGGGCACAGCTGCACTGACAGTATGACAACAAAGGAGCTTGATTAAAAGGCCATTTATGCTAGCGTTGTGGGCTGACAGGCACATATGAGAAGTGCTGTATGGTCACACTGCTTTCTGGGCAATAAGAGGAGGCTTTATGTTAAAGTGGAACAGTTCTGGTGTGGTGGTCGAGTTTCTGAACAGACCTTGGCATTCAGTGAAGAACTAGAGTGCTTGTGTTGCAGATCAAAAGCACACATGATATGTAAATCCACCCCAGGATACAATGGCCTAATGTTGGTCTAAATCATTGTTTTATGAACTTAACACTGGATTTAGCATAAACAACTCTTTTTTTCCCTTTAATAAAAATCAGTTTTGTCATAACTCTCCAATCATGTGAAGCTTAGCAGTACACTCATGACTTTCCCAACATAAGACACAAGTCACATGGGTCTAACTTAGCTCTTGGTTACACATTAACAATAAAACAAACAAACAAACAAAACAGCAACCAGAAAGGTGCATTTTTAATGGGATTGGTAGGGACACATCCACCTTACAGTCAGTGTCATGTCTTGAATTCCTCCCCCGTTCTCTCAAAGGAATACAGATGGCGAGAGATGGAGGAGCACCGGCAGGCAGAGCGACTCCAGCGGCAGCTGCAGCAGGAGCAAGCCTACCTCCTGTCGCTGCAGCACGACCACAGGAGGCAGCAGCAGCAGCAGCAGCAACAGCAGCAGCAGCAGCAGCAAGAAAGAAATAAACAAAGCTATCATACCCCTGAGCCTAAGTCCCACTATGAGCCTGCTGAAAGAGCACGTGAGGTAAGTCCTGCTAGTGAACAGGAGTCTGCTAACTGCTTCTCTGCCTGCTGCCATCAGCATGACTGCGGTTCTGCTACACCAAAGCACCACTCATAAGGAGCAGGATATTTTAACTGTTGGTTACTGGTTTGCAAGCCCTAGGGCAACTTCTGAGTGCTTCTGCTGCAATCACTGGAGTTCAGGCTTTTTGAGGTGTAAAAGTTGGAAAGAAGGTCTGGAAGGCTGCAGACTAAGGGGCCTGGTTTTGGAAGTATCATGTCAGGAAGTTGTATCTGTGCTTCATCAGACATGTTTTCTTAGGAACTGTTGGTCCAGTGGTCTGTGTCTCTGGCAAGTACCGGTGATTTGAAATTGAGAGGCAGTTGGAAAGCACAAACCTATGATGGATGTTAACACTCAGCACGTGTACACATTTGGTGTTTTAACTTACACTTTTCAAAATTTCCTTCTCACGAGCAAAAACCTGAATTTCATTAGTTTCATTTCTGAAATGTTAAGTATTCTTTTCTGAGATCACGTCCCACTCTTTTGAAACTTTATGGTGCTGCGTTCTTCAACTTCAGGCACTTACAAGTTGATCTGAAGTGCTGTGCCTTTCAATGAGTCTTCACCGGTCCATGAGTAACATTGGGAAGCAAGTGAACATTTCTTTGATGTATATTTGGCTTTCTTTCAGTGATCTTATTCTTGTGTTTCCCTTGAGCACCATACTGCCCACAAACCATCAGACTGGGCAATGTTAGTCCAAGCTCTTAATGGCATTCATCACCTGCATGTGGGAACTAGGTGGATACATTTTGGAACAAGAACAGAAAATGTATTTAGGCCTGCTAAACATGATAAAATAGCTCTTGGTTCAGCTTCATCCAGCAGGGCCTCTTAGTCTTTGAAGTCCTATTGTTTGGGCTTGGTGGACGCAAACTCATTTTATTCTAGATGCTGTTGTCCAGGTTCTTAATAAACTATGTTTGTCCTATCTCATCCATTATGTTTGATGGTTGAAGTATCTGATGTGTCTTTCTTACTTGGAAGAAGTTCAGACTTGTCTGGTATGTGATGGTGCAGGCATGGAACCTGCCCTCTTGTCCTTGTTGCATGCTCTTGGCCCACCTCAGTGAAAGCATCTCCAGTCTAGCATTCTGTCCAGCCTGAATGCTGGCTGGGATTTAGAAGGATGCAGAACTGTATCTGCTTAATTTTCCTTTCAGAGCTGAAAAGGTGAGAAAAAGATTTAAGTGTTCCGTCCTTTAGGAGAACCACTGACTCACTTGTTTTTCCTGTTGTAGTCTTTCTTTTGTGATTGCTCTAGCCCAAAAGAGTAAAGACAGAAAAATTGATTGATAGTCAGATCTTCCCAGAGATCATTGTATAACAGTCTTTTAAAAAATGTGATAGAAGTATAGCCATAAGGTCTTGATACCTGGCAGTGGGAATGGCACAATGTAATCCTAGCAGCAGGCATTAACTCTGACATCATTCCTTACAAAAAACACTGAATTGGAATGAGTGTTCTGTGCCTCATACTTTCAGCCATACTGCTCTCCAGAAAAAGTGTCAACCTACAGAGATGCTGATATTGGGATGGTAAGGTGAAGTGGACTAACCTTCCTGCCTGGCAAAATTTATTGGTGATTAGTTTTCTTTCCTCATTGCAGTAGCAGTGAGGATATAAGGAAAAGGAATTCTAAGTAAGATTGGCTTTGGGAAACAGCAGGAAGATTAGAACTTAATATCACTTCCAGGTACAGACAGACAGATGACTGGAATAGGACCTGTTTCTGTCCAGGAATGCATTCTATCTCCTTGCCACTTGTCTGGTTTTGAGGACATGTCGCTCGTGCAGTTTATGTGCTTTGTAGAAGAAATTTCCTATAATCTACAGCTAGAGATGTGAAAACCTGTTGCTTCAGACAGAAAGACTTGAGGCTTTTCCTTATTCTATTCATAACAAGGAGTCTGGCCTGTTTTTTAGACTTTAAAGAATGCCTCTATGAAGTTGAACACAGTGGTGAAAATGATTGCATGGTGAAGATGCTTGCCTCCATTATTGTTGCACTCTTCCCAAGACATGGGGTGTTTTGTGTAGACCTTAACAGAGGCTTGTCTGCTTGTCCCTATAGGCAACCTGGTACTATCCTCAAACTTTGGAATGGAGAAGCAGGTTGGGTTTGTAGAGGAGCCTACCTGAGCCGAGGAGTCTGGAAACTTGCCTATTCTCTGGAGGCCAGTCTCTCCAGACCATCACTCCTAGGGAACATTAGGAAATCATCCCAATACTGGTTTTGTGCTCTGGGCACAAGGGCTAAAGCAAATTAAATCATCCCAAGCTTCCAGTTTGATCTTTGGTGCTTTGATAAAATACTGTGAGTTTAGCATTCCTCAGAGGTAGCTTACCTGGCACATGCTGCCTTGGTTCTGGCAACAGACTTTCTTAGGAAATGAGAGGCTGTTTCCTTTCTGCCTGTAGCCTCCCTCCATCTCTTGTCCTTCATACCTCTCACTTTGTTGTCAGTGTTGTGGCCTTGATAGAGGTGACATTTCTGCATGGGGACCTTGCTTCATGGTCTGCTGAGGACTGAGCACATTCTAATTTAGTCTTCCCCTCAGCAAGCTCTTGAGGTTAACATAAGATCAATTCTTCACCTTTCTGCGAGCAGGAAACAAACTGATGGCATTGTCCTCTACACCCTTTGAGTTTGTGCTGAGAGTATTTGATAAGAGAGATAAGATCTACACTTTTGAGCCTGAAGCTGAAGAGACTCCAGTGTTACCTGGTAGAGAAACATCTCCTGTCTCTTCTTCTGTTGCTGAAGAGAGAAGCACAGGAAAGCAGATTATCCAAAACCATTGCTTGCATAAGGTGGGCAGCTCAAGTAAGGGATAGCAGTGGGAAATACTTTTATATTGTAAAGTTGTTTCTGTTTAGGTATATCTTTTTTATTATCTGTGAGGAAAGTACTGATGGAAAATTAGTCTAGGCAGAAAGAAGGCCCATAATGGTCTTTCATCATATCTCACATCTTGCTACCTCCTGTGTCTCCTCTCTCCCTAGTATGGATTATCCATATTGGCCTACTTGGAACTTTGGTGGAATTCACTCAGTGAACTTGCTGGCAAAAGTGGTAGGGAAAAAATCCTGCCAAACCCCAAATGTATTTGCTTTCTTTGTAGTAAAGAAAAGGTGGTACTCCCCTTTGTATTTCTACTGTACTTGGTTTTACTGACTCAAGGCTTAACCCCCATTTATTTTGGCTTAGGTGGAGGAGAGATTTAGAAAAACTAATCAGGGCTCCCCTGAAGCACAGTCTAAACAGATGGGCAAAGTGTTGGAGCCACCAGTGCCTTCAAGATCAGAGTCCTTTTCCAATGGAAACTCAGAACCTGCTCAGCCTGCCCTGCAGAGGCCAGTGGAGCCCCAGGTAAGTGCCCAGGAAAATCTTGGTGAGCCTGCAGGGAATGCAGAAGTCCTAACGTGTTTCCTTCAGATTTGCAGATCTAGTACTATTACACAAAACAGCTTATTCTGTAGATTTGCTCTTTGTCTGTTTTTGCTTATTTTATTGACAAACGGATGGATTTGTGGGTTTGGTGTATTTTTTTGGTTTGGGTTTTTTCATGTTAGAGCTAGACTAGAACTGTTGTACCCCATTATTATCTGTGCAGCAGTGACACAGTGGGTTAAATGCTGGTGGCAGTTGCAGAGCATTTTGCAATTCAGAATTTGGTCTGTGCAAGGCTTTTACTACTAAAAAGGATGCTCAGGAAAAAAGTGCACTTGCTTGGTTTTTAAAATTCTTGCAGAAAAAAGCTAACTAAACAAGTGGGTTTTAGCAGTGTGAGCACTGTTTCAAAGAGTTTGCAAAACATGTCTAAGAAAAGCAGGTTTGTGGTCAGTAGGCCTGCAGTTGCTAAATAAAACTCTGTACCACCCCTGGAAAATCAAGAAGCACTAAGCTGCATGGTAGCCATTGTTCTTTTGTTTTCTAACCAAGAGCCTTCAGATCTTGACACCTGATCCCATAGGAGTTATGGCATGAATTGAAAAAGTAACCTTTGTCTAAAAGTTAGACATAGCCCATGAATTCTGAGCAGTTTAGGTATGCTAAATTAAACTGTAGAGTTCTGCATTTAGTTCCTCTGTTTCCATGCAGAATTTTCATAAAGTCTGTTGATGACAGTGCAAGCTAAAACCATCCCTGATTGTGACTAGGTATTGCCACTCTTTTGGACAACAGGAGAATTTGAACAGACGGAAGAGTGGGAGAAATCAGGACAGAACTTCATCTCTTGCTCATTATTTCCAGGCTTTTATTCAAACCGCTATGACTATTTCAAAATATTGGACTTGTATCTTCATACTCTGTGCCAGTTACTTTTAAAGTCTGTGTCTTTCACTCTTATTAAGGATAATCAGGCTCTTCAACAGCTGTGTGTATTAAAATTGAGGAAATAATAACAACATAAAAACAAATACAGCCAGCCTACTGAAACTGGGATTGAAAGCAAAGTTTTGCTTAATCATTAGGAGTGAAAACAGCATGTTCCTCAGTTGTGACCTTTCCTCCTCCTTTGTTTCAGAAATTAACTCTGAAACACAGGCTTAAGCACAAAGAGGAAGTAGGCTGAAGGGAATATGGATTTGAGTGGGAATCCTAATGGAGTTTTAACTCCTTAGTCACTGTTATGCCTTCTTAGTGTGTGTAATTGAATATGTGTGCATGTAAATGTGTGTGTGTACTTTGTGTATAAATATGTATATATGTACAGTATATGGTACATATATGGTGTAAGTATAATATGCATTGTACATATGTATACTATATACAATATATATTATATTTTTTTATATATATTGCAATAACTGTAAAGGAATAAAGGCTTTGTGTTATGGTCTTTCTCCAAAATTTCAAGCTGTATCCAGTCCCTGAATTTGTTAGTAAAAGTAAATGTCTGTTGGTTTACCCAATTTACAGCATTCTTTAATTTTGTACATTGCTCTAATTGGATGTCCACTTCAAATTTCCCAGCCCACCATGAGACCTGGCCAAAGCCCACTGAAGATCAGGGAACAGAAGGTGACTTCTGTCTTGAGTGGCCTTTGAACTCAGGCTCATGGTGCAGATATTGGATCCCCTTTCCCTCTGGGCACCAGTGTACGTGTGTGTGGAGAGCGCATCACACAGAAATTGCATATGTGCTGTATTTTCAGTCTGTTACGTTCCTTGGGCGCTTGCCTTGCTTTTAAGTGCATTGATTCCACCCCACGCTTACCTAATGCCATAACCAATTTGTCTCTGCCTGCCCCACCTGCCTTTATTCTGTGTTAATTGGAAAGCCGGTTATACTGAGCGCATTGAATGTTTTATGTTTTGTTTTCTTGTAAGGTACAGTGGTCCCATCTGGCATCTCTCAAGAACAATGTTTCCCCTGTCTCGCGATCCCATTCCTTCAGTGACCCTTCTCCCAAATTTGCTCATCACCATCTTCGTTCCCAGGACCCATATCCACCTTCACGCAGTGAAGTGCTTAATCAGAGTTCTGACTCTAAGTCGGAGGTACCCGACCCCACCCAAAAGGCTTGGGCTAGATCAGACAGTGACGAGGTGCCTCCAAGGGTAAGGAGTAGAAAGACAGATGTGTGCTATTTTTTTATTATTAATTACAGTTTTCTTAATGTAATTAAGAAAAATATGTGATGCCCTGGGCACTGGGAAGACCGTGCCCTTGTGCCAGCACTGGTAACAGTATTTTGGAAGGCAGTTCTTAATGTAGGTATTCAGTCAATGGGTTAATGATAATCAACCTGAAGTACAATATTGAAGCTTCATATAAAATTGGTAATTATTTATAGAATGCAGCTATTTCAGAGAAACAATTTATTATGCAAAGTTAACAAATAATTACCATATTCAGGAAATAATTCAAAATATCCCTGAGGTTATTGCTCAGAGTTAATATTCCTCTTCATTGGTTTGTAACCCAAACTATGAATCATACACTTATTTAAAATTAAGATGGATCTGAACAAAAAGGAAACATTCAATATACTTCCTCCTCCTCTCCCCCTTCCATCCCCCCTCCCATCCACTGGGATTTGCTTCTTCTGAGTATATTCTTGCTCCCCCCCCACCAGTCTTTGCCTTCTGCTGATCCATTCCCAGGCATTTGTTTGGTTCCCTTGAGCTTATTCTCCTAATTCTCATGCTGTTTCAGCAAATTGCTTTGTGCCTCCCCTGCTTCAGTCAAAATGCCATATTCTTTTCAGATGTCTCAGTAGTTGGGAGGGTAGTGGGGCGTGTACGTGTTCGTGTGATAACCATTAAACGCTATTTAATGTTAAGACTAAACATCAAGTTCTATTCAAATTCTGAACAGCATCACAGCTAAGGCTTTTGGCTTTGTGGGTGTTTGTTCACTGCTTTTGGTCATTGATGCTAGCTTGTACTTAAAACATGTTGTTAAGATCTTAAGAATATATTTTGTGGCAGGAGAAGTTTTATCGTCCTGTCCTGTCTGTCCTCTTCATGGGTTTAACAGAACCTTTTTTCTCCCAAGGTACCTGTGAGAACAACGTCCCGATCACCAGTCCTGTCCCGCCGTGATTCCCCACTGCAGGGCACTGGGCAGCAAAATAACCAAGCAGGTCAAAGGAATTCCACGAGGTTTGTAAGCCTATGTGTCCTTGCTTTTCTTGAATTGGAAGGAAAAGGCATATGGGAAGCCAGGCATTTCCAGACAGCTTTTGGCAATGCTTGTAGGATGTGAAAGGAAGATGGTGTTGGATCCCTTTTCAGTAATGATTGATTTCTCTCGATGTGGCACGTGTCAACAAATGCTGACAAAATTTCTTCTTTCCTCTTCTCATTTGAGTTGCCTACCCTGTAATTTTTGCAGTAATTTCAAATACCCTTCAAATTTTGGAACAAATGTGGTTGTTTATGAATATCTTGCCTTTTGGTGCAACAGGGAATACCGTGGGGATTACTGGCAGCAGGAGGGCTTGTAACATCTAAAGTGAAGAGAGCTCAAAAATTTTCTGGCCTCTTAGCCAGAACCAGATTTTAAAAGGGGGAAAAAGCCTCCCTGGGCTGTGACACAGAGCACCCAAGGTCAGGAAGGGGGAGGAGGGAGCTGACTCCTGAGCTCAACAGAGCAACATGGGCAGGCCACTGTGGAATTAGCTCACTGGATAGGGGTGAGGGTATTCTGGTGTTCTTTTTGGTTTGTGTTTAGTGTCTAGGACACTTCTGATGCTGCATGCAGGCTGAGAGAATTGTCCACTTCAGGTTATATACATAAGAAAGGCAGGTAGATAACTCCAAATAAAAGAAGTAGCTTATACCCACCTAAGCTTTTTTTTGACCATCATAAATACGGTAATAGTTATTTCAAAGGGAGCTGATGCCTGGGTTGTGAAGCATTACTGATGCCCTGATCTCAGCATTAGAGTGTTCTTTCAGTTGAGTTATTAGCAAAACACTGAGAGAGAGTGATGCTTCAGTTTAGAGCTGGGAATCTGGGGCTGAAGTGTGTGTGACAAAGAGTTTCTTTCCTCCCTTGATACAGCAATATAGAGCCTCGTCTGCTGTGGGAAAGGGTGGAGAAGCTTGTACCAAGGCCAGGCAGTGGCAGTTCTTCTGGCTCAAGCAACTCTGGCTCACAACCTGGCTCCCACCCTGGCTCTCAGAGTGGGTCTGGAGAGCGGTTCAGGATGAGATGTAAGTCCTTCTCCTACCCTCTGTAACACTGTGTTTCTAATTTTATGACGCTGTGAAGCACTCAGTAATTAAAGATGACAACCCTCACAGGGAACTACCTTTGAACATGCAGTGTCAGAGTTGGGTTGGCTTTCTGTACCCTCTTGGCCATATGTCCTTGTTTGGGAAAGGCAGCAGGCATAGAAATTGTTGTCAAACTGTTTGTTTCATTGTTCTTGAATTCACATCCAGGCACTGCTGCACTTTCCTATGTGCAAACAGCCCAGTCTCCATGCCCTCACAGCTCCCTCCCTTTCTTATGTGTGCAAGGGCACATTTTGATACTTGGTGGTTGTTGACAGCATGCAGACTGCCATGGATAGGTCTCAGCTGGGCTACACTGGATGATGATGGAGGTTTTCCAGCTTGTGGCCACACTTGGCTCTTTGATTTACTATTGTTGTAACTGTTTACTTTGGCTTCAGACATAGGTCAGTTGCACCTATACAAATCACAGCTTATGGTGTTTTTTGTATAGTCCTTCAGGGACAATATAGTAGTCAACCAGTGAAATTTAGATCTTGTGATCAAACACCCCTAATAGTCACCTCTCATGTCTTCCTCACTCCAGAGTGAAGTAAGAAAACATGCTTTAGCTCCCTGCTTAATCTGCTTTGTTCTGTGTTCCTTTTGGTGTCTTGGCACATGCAGCATCATCCAAATCAGAGGGTTCGCCATCACAGCGCCATGAAAGTGCACCTAAAAAGCCTGAAGAGAAAAAGGAAGTCTTCAGACCTATCAAGCCTGCTGTAAGTTGCATCCTTCTCCCCTGTTCTCCTTCTTTTTTAAGTAGATTCACAAAAAGTACACTGAGAGCTTCCTTCAGTGCCATTGGGGTGAACATCAGCTGTTGATCAGCTGGGTCTAGCAGCATGTTCTGGGCTGTGCAATTGCCTGTGCACATCAGTACTGCAAACATCATATTTTGCACTGCTTCTGGGATTTATTTCTGCTCTCTGGATTTCTTCCTTCCTAATCCATGCCTTTCTCTCTTTCAATCTTGTGCTTCCTTCCTGGGGCTGGACCAATGATCGTGCATTTGACCTGAATGTGCCAATGCTGGGCTGAATGGTGCAGGGAGAAGTGGTAAGACCTTACATTTTTCCTGCTTTCTGTGAAAGATTTCTGACATTTTCTACATCTGGCTGCTATTACAATTGATTACAGCTCTGTGTCCAGTTGTATCTTGGGAAACTCATTGGTTTTTCACAGTATTTCTATCTTTCCTTGGAACTTTCTTCAGTAGCCATATCTCTTATGATGCTGCAGTTAGTCATAAATAGGATGGTTGGGTTTCAAGAGTATGCATATTTTTCTATGATATGGCAAGACCCCCTTAGGTTGGCTCTTCTGGTGTATGAATTTATGAGAAAGTGAGTTTTGGTAACTGTTAGGAATGAATAAGTCAAAGGAAACAGTACTGCTGGGGCAGTGGAAACACGGAAGTGAGCAAACTTGGACACTAATCCTGTGGGTTTGTCTTGCAAACTTTTCTTCTCTCTTACTTGCAACATCAGTTTTAACATTTTTTTCTTCCCTCTCCCAACAGGATTTAACTGCACTGGCGAAGGAGCTGCGAGCAGTGGAGGATGTGCGACCTCCACATAAAGTAACCGATTACTCGTCCTCGAGTGAGGAGTCAGGGACAACAGATGAGGAAGATGATGATATGGAACAAGAAGGAGCAGATGAATCTACTTCTGGACCAGATGATGTCCGAGCAGTGTTAGTCCCTCTATCAGTGTTTTGCATCTGTTTTGCCTTATGGAGGATTGAAGGAAAAGGGCGTTAGCATTTTGGCTTGTATGTTAGTTCTTTCAGATTGCTGCAATCCATGAGCAAGACATAGCAGCCTCATATGTTCATATATTCAAACACTAAGGATAGTCTTCTGAATGTCCTTTCCCTCTTCTCCCATCATTTGTTTCAAAACAAGAAACTGTTCAACAATATCTTGCCTTTTTTTTTTCTTAGAGAGGCTTTTCTAGGCAGCTCATGTAAATATTCCACTCTGACTATAATACAAATTAGTTTTGAGTATGCTTTGATGCAGGGCAGTGACAGCCAGGGCACCAGTGCTGTTGTCTCACTCCAGTTATTTCTTGTCTAACAAATAGGTCAACGTTGAACTTGAGCAATGGTGAAACAGAGTCAGTAAAAACCATGATTGTCCATGATGATGTGGAGAGTGAACCTGCCTTGACTCCTTCTAAGGAGGGCACCTTAATTGTTCGACAGGTATTGCTTTTCCTTCCCTGTGCAGTGCTGCACCGTTTCTGTGCTCATTAACCCACTCGCTCATTCACCCATGCTGTTTCTACATTATATTTGTTGTTCGTATTATCAAGACTCAGCTGTAGAGAATTTCAGAGCAGCAAGATGTTTGATGCATGCAAAGAGGAGAGTAGCCCTTCACCCTTGCTTCTGTTTTGCATGCTTTCCAGTGACACTCATGGCAGCACCATGCAGAGTATCTCAACGTCTGTGGGAGAGAAGGGTAGAAAAGCTGCAGATACGTGGAGCAAGTACCTGGAGCAAAAACTTAGTTGTAGCACAGAACCAAATCTGTGTCTCAGGAGTGAGGCTGGGAGGGAGCTGGGGTGGGAGCACTCAAGCTTTTTTAAAATTGTTTTGAACCTGTAGTTTAGGGCATACAGACCACCCGGATGACATACACACACATGTACATGCAAATTCACACAACAGTTGGTGTGGGGAGAAGCAAAATAGGTGGTGAGGCAGAGAATGTGGACAGAGTAGAGTGCTGTGTTGTTGCCTTTGATTCTGAAAATATTGTATTCTTGTGCCTCTGAAACATAATGGTTCCCTGTTTTTAAATGAGCTTGTGTGTTAATGAGCGTGCTAGCTTATAGGAGTTTCCTCAGTAATCGCATTTCTGAGTTTCACAACTGAATGCCAATTTCTTAACTGAGTCCTCTTATTTGAAAATTAAAATTTCATGGTTATTGTTTTAAATAGTTAGCTGAAGGGATTCTCCAGAAAGTCCAAACTGCTATCTGCATAGCGTCAAAGTTAGTTTTAAACAAAACAATAGGGAAAAAAAAAACATCACCCCACCCCCAAAAAATGTGCTTGTCCCTGTTGTGGTGTTGGACTTAGCAGCGCAGTTGCTGTTATCTTAATTTGTGGAACTGGCTGTGCAAGTCAACCACATGAACCAAGCATTTGCCTGCTGGTGGGAATTTCATGAATTCTAGTAGCTCTGCCCACTTTCCCTTTCCATGCAGGCATCAAAGCACAGATTATAAGCTGTTTTAAAAAATAAAAAGTAAAAAAAAAGTGAAAAGGTAGGGAGTGAGGGAGAGAAGGAGAGAGGTTGTTAGGGATATAGACTTTTAAGCAGCACTTGAGCAAGACAAGTGTGCCTGTTTTTTCTACAGAGTACAGTTGACAAAAAGCGTGCCAGCCATCATGAGAGCAATGGCTTTGCCGGTCGCATTCACCTCTTGCCAGATCTCTTACAGCAAAGCCATTCCTCCTCCACTTCCTCCACCTCCTCCTCCTCCTTGTCCTCCTCTTCCTTCATGTCCTCATCCTTGTCAACTTCCTCCACCTCCTCCTCCCCATCCTCCAGCCAGCCGACACCCACCATGTCCCCACAGACACCCCAGGACAAGCTAACTACTAATGAGGTATGTCTTACACCACAGCTGGCTGCTTTCATAGGGTTATAGCAGCATTGCCTAGTAGCTAGTTTGCAAAGGAACTCCAGCCAATCTCCCCTGCTTTTTTTTCTGTCACCTTTGTTCCCACCTCCCAAATAACACATTTCAGTTCTGTGTAAGAAGCCCTTAACTCTAGAGCAGTCCCACGCCAAACTTGCCAGTTTACTATTTTTGCTTCCTTTTAGTGAGTCATTAATTGCATGGCGTTCATTTTAAACTAAACTTGACTACTGCATTTTCAAGCCAATACTCTTTTTAATTCTGTTTTATTCTGGGAGCAGGCTAATTGCAAGCAATGTGCCTCTTCAGAATTAGCAGTTAATTTTGGCTTTTTCAGTAAAGGCTGGACTAGTTTCTCCACACATACGAGGAGCTGCTTGTTGAAACTCACCCAATGGGAGAGGAAGTGGCTGTGGAGAGATTTTGCTCACTAAAGCTTGCCATGTGGGCTGGGTGAACAAATCAGGTGTTGCCTGGGAGGGTTGTAAAAGCCAGAGGTATTGTTATTTTGGAATAATGAATGGGGGAAAATATTTGGGTTTTTTTCCAAGTATGTGTGTACTCTGAGAAGCAGCTGTGCAAAGATGACTGTTATCCACCAGCACTGATTATGTCCACGTGGAGAAGGCTTTACCATGGGGGAAGCTCCCTCTTGCTGTCCTGGGCTGATCCCAGGAGGGTGCCTTCCTTTACTGAGTGCAGGTGGGAAAGCCTGGTCCTTCACATGTGCTAACCCCTTGCAGCAGAGGAGTTAACACATGTACAAATGAACAAAGGGCCACTTGCCCCTTACCAGCCCCAGCAGTGAGCAGGGAGCCTTGTCTGGTGGCTCCATTCCTGGCTGTGTGGCCAGCCTGGCTTACAGGAGAGCCTCTGAAGCAGGGGATGGTACAGGGTGAGCAAAACTTGGTAAAAGAACCTGCTGCTTCTCAGGGTAGAGTCCTGCCATGGAGGTGTGCAAGTGGTGTGATGAGGAGAGGTTGCAGTGAGCTGGGGAGGTTTATGGCAATGCACATGCTTACCATGTAATCAAAAATGCTTCTTAACCACATAGTAGGTGGGTGGGAGGGAGAGTTTCCTCCTGGAAATTCATTTAGCTTTATATATCATTTCCAGCTGTGCTTCATTCTTCTTTGGTCTTTCTAAAGCACACTCTTGTAGGTTATAGAGATCACTTGATTGATCCAGAGATGCGCTTGCTCACTACTTTGGTCTAAGCAATACGTAAGCAGGGCTCAGTTAACTCAGCTTGGGAAGTGGGGGCTGTGGCAGTGCCTGGTGATGAAGGAGCCTTTTGGTGTTGGGCTGTTCAGGGCAGGGATAAATTCCAAAGACCCATTGCTATTTCTTTCTGTAGAGGCTTAGGAAGATTAGAGGTTGAAGATTAGTTGATGCTAAAGAAGTGTCTTGTAACAATATTTGCATAAAACTGAGCAAAAACCCAGTACTGCTCGGTATAACTTATCACATGCACACACTCTTTATATATACACACTTTTTTTTTTTCCCACTTGTCCCATTCTGCTTCAGTATGATATGTTGTCACTATAATACTAAACTGGCAAGGGTTTTTAAGTTGTTCCATTTCCACTTTTAACAGTTCATTGTTTCACTTGTCTTCTTTCTTTCTTTATGTTTTTTCATGTTTAGACCTCATAACTCAACAAGCACCAGTGATTTTATCCACTACATATTCATAGTGTCATGTCACTGTTTGCTACACCTTCCACACTAATGAGCCCCTTTGTTCGATACAGGTTTAATATGTTGCTTTATCAAATAAAGGTGGAAGAATCTGCTGCAGCTTTCTGGCAAGAGGCTCAGGTTAAACAAAATAGGGAGAATGAACAGTAGTGAACATTGAAACATAGTCCATCATAGAAGTGAATGCTTGATCCCAGATGGTTCTGATTTTGTTGCACAAGCCAAGAGATCAAACTTCATAATTTAATTAACTACCTCAATTCAGAGATGCTTCATAGATTCAAAAATTGTAGGTAGTGGGCAGCTTGCAGATAAAACAGTATACATACATTTAAGCAGATTTTCAAAAGGAGAGACATTCCCTTGCTTTGTGCCTGATTGTAGTGGTCTGTACTAAAAAGCTTTGCTAGCAGCTGAGGTTCAGGGATGACAATTCAGCTAATTGCATTTTGCTGTAACATGTGCAGTGTGCATATGTATCTAGCTCAGGTGTGGTGCCTGCAGTGCTTTGTGTATCTATAAAGGAAGTACAAAAGCTTGGGGAGGCTCTGTAGCATAATTCCATAGTGCCTTTAAAATGTTGGTGTTTGTTATCCATGCTTTTTTATTGTCATTAATATTAATAAAGTTGAAATTTACATTGCAGACTCAGTCCGCTAGTAACACACTCCAGAAACACAAATCTTCCTCCTCCTTTACACCTTTTATAGACCCCAGATTACTACAGATTTCTCCATCTAGTGGGACAACTGTGACTTCTGTGGGTAAGTAAAGTAGCTGAAGACAACAATTAAAAAAGGGTTCAGTGACTTCAGTGGCTCTTTAAAGTACTTAAGAATGTTACCATCATGCTTTTTATTTGTTTTGCAACGGATTGCATAATTTAATTTCTTTTTCCATTTACATTTCTTACAAAAATTAGGACTCTCTCACTGTTCTCAGTTACTGATTTGGTTTGTATGGTATAAAAAAATATATGTTCAGAATCCAGCACTTGAAGGGTATTAGATGCACATTATTTTTTTTCTTTCAGTAGGATTTTCTAGTGAAGCAATGAGATCAGAGGCAATAAGGCAAGACCCTACACGGAAAGGATCAGTTGTCAATGTGAACCCCACAAACACACGGCCACAGAGCGACACCCCAGAGATTCGCAAATACAAGAAGAGATTCAATTCTGAGATCCTGTGTGCGGCCTTATGGGGTAAAGCAAACCTGTTATTGCCTTGCCATTCCTGAAATGTAATGTCCCAGTAGGAGCTTTCAGCCTTTGATAATGTATCTCCAAAACTGCAGCTGTTTCTCTGCATTTATTCAGTGCTTGTTTACATCTTTTTTGTTGCAAGACCTGATTATTATTGTGTTTTTTATAATATGTTGCTTCTACTTTGTTATGATTTCCCACTACTACATATATGCTTCTGATGGCACAGTTTAGACTGAGAATCACAGAATTATAGGGTTGGAAAGGACCTCTGGGATCATCAAGTCCAGCCTTTGACTAAACACCATGGGATCAGCTAGACCACGGCACTGTGTGCCCCATCCAGTCATTTCTTGAACTCTTGCAGGGATGATAGCTCTTATCACCTCTGTGGGCAGCCTGTTCCAATGCTTAATCATACTTTCAGTGGAAAAGTTCTTCCTGGTATCCAACCTGAGCTTGCCCTGTCATAGCTTGAGGCTGTGTCCTCTTTCCCTGTCACAGGTTGTCTGGGAAAGGCTTCATGCAGTTCATCAGGATGTTCTTTTCAGCCCTTTCCAAACCCTGCTGGTGCATCTCTTGCAGCTTTTGGGAGCTTGTAGTAGTCCTTGCACTGTACACCTGGTGCACACAGGGTATTCTTTTGAAAAATTATCATCTTCTTGAGGCTCTTGCTAATGTATCATTGCAGGGCTTGATTAAAGTGTGTTGTGTAAGATGTTACCTTGTTACCTCAGTCATCAGTTTATGCAGAAAGTAAGACAGAAAAGAAAAGGATAGAGAACAATTCCCATTCTGAGGCTTAGCTTTGTTAAGAGTGATTACTGCAGAGAGAAGCTGGGTATGAGATGTCAGCTGACCAAGTCTGTCTGGTTTTCTTGTCACTAGGGATAATTTGTGTTGGTGTCAGACAGTCAGGATCCCACACTTGATCAGGCTTCGAGCACTGCCTGTTGCCTGTTGCAGTGTAGAATCTCTGCTGCAATCCCTAGTTAATGTTTTTCTGTGTTGTTTGTTTCCTGACCAGAATCTGTGAATTAGTTTTTTCATTATCTAAATATTAATAGTTGATGCTTGTGTATGTTACATACATACTTATCTAGTATCCCTAAAGTTGGCAGATTATAAATGCACATGCAGGTCTTTAAAAAACTTTGGAAGAAGACAATTGGCCATTGCCCTAAGGTATATGATTATTGTAAAGGTAACACAGTCCCTTATCTTTTTTACTTTTTTTATAGCTCTTTCCAAGGCTTTAGTTCTCTTTTGGGGTTATGTCCAGCATTTCCTGTTTCTGAGAACAGCTCTTTTGTCCCAATCTTCTTTCCTGCATAGCTGTGTCAATGAAATAACTCTCCCAACACCTTGTCTTCCTATCTGCTGTTTTCTTTATTTCCAGAATTTACTGCTAAGAATTTTTGCCTCAACACTATTTCTGCTTGAATTTCTGTGTGACATTCTCTGATAAAGTTAAGACTTGTGCAAATTTAAACTTTGAGGCTGTGAGAGGCCAAAGGCAGAGAGAAATCATATGGTGTCAGTAAAGATGACTCATAATTTCTCTGATCTGCCTTGTTTTGCCAGTAGCAATTCGTGTTAATGGTTTTATATTTCTTTGATCTATATATCTGTCTGTTAGGGTGGTTTAAAGAATACGTGTAAAATCCTAGAGGTGTTGTACAGCTGTAACACAGCCCTTCACTGAACATTCAGGGCCAAACTGATGGTGATACAAGTTGGTACACACGCTTACTTCTTGATAAAGTTTAACTTCCTTCACCCTTAAGAAAATTAAACCATTTCATGGTGATGCTTTCTATTCAAAAAGAGAGGGGCTTGCTTTGATTTGCCTTTACCAGTGGTAATGCCAGTAGTATCTGGCAAGCTGTTAATTGCATTAGGTCTCTGATGCTGCTTCTTCTGGCTCTGAGTGGTGAAAGCCAATGTTAATTACATGGATGCAGTAACAGATTCTTACACCCAGCCTCCACAGACAGCCTGTACTTTTTCAGGAAGCATTTCCATTTGTTTGAAAAAACCAGAGCTGCTTAATTGTAGGGTGGCAGCAGAAGAGCTCTGCTGTCTGTGAGTGAGGAGGGTGTCTGCGCTCTAAAATACAAGCCCTGCTTGCCACCAGTGTAACACCTCATTAGTTTCATCTAAAGTGCGCATAGCTGAGGGAAGGGGTTGGGCACAGGTGTGCATGAGAGCTCAAAGCAGGAACAGCTGCACCAGCAAGGCAGAGGCAGGAGGGGTGAGGGTGGAGGCAGGAGCAGTGGAGTCTTGATGGAGGACAAGGAGGGGAAGGGACCCTGAGGGAGCAGTTTGCATGTGGCTTGCTTTGAATTGTGCCCACCCTGGAAAAGGTGCAGAAATGCATCTTGAAGCTTCAGCTTTAGTCAGTGGGTACTGGAGCTGCAGGAAGGAGAGCAGCTGCTGGGCACTTCCTTGGCTGGCTTGGTGCTGCTTCAGCCTGTGCTAAGCATGACTTGTGTGTGGCTCACTGTCCCTGCTTCCTTCTGCCTCTTCCCAGTCTGAGGATTGTCCCAGTAAGAGGGACAGGCAGTGTGAAATGCTGTTGGATGAAGTGGCCATTGCCCATGGGGGCTGTGGGGTGGGATCCAGTGGGTGCAAACCAGTTGGGAGATGCAGAGGTGAGAGGTGGTGGGCAGCACAGGGATGAAGGAAGTGTCAGCAGCTGAAGGAGAGCCTGGAGGGTGACAGGGCTCCCAGGAGAAGTATTAGAACAGCAAATCTAAGCAAAGATGCCTTGGGGGCTGCTGGGGCCTCGGAAGTTTTCTTACTGAAAAGGGTAGGGAGAGGATAACGGAGAGATGCACGATGATTTCTGAACTCACTATGGGCTACATCTGTTTTTCTCATCCACCCAGAGGCTTTTAAAGCCAGCACCAGCAGCTCATCCCCCTCCCCATCATTACTGCTTCCCCCTAACACCCTCTCCCCTTTCAGAGGCGCCTTGTGCCCCCTGGGTCAGGCATAATGTGCCCTCCTTGGTATCCAGGGGGTGTTTAGGTGAGCAATAATGCCCTTTTTCAGTACTCTGAGAAGGCACATCACTGCTGTAGGTGCACTGATACACACACACACACACACACACCTGGGCCCACCTGCTCTATCAGAAAAGAGCCCATTGGCCCCAGTGTAGTTGTATGTGGGAGTTAATTGTCTGACTAGGGATTAAGACCATTCATCAGTGTAACTATGATCATCTTCTGTGAGTTTTGCTTTTCTTACTTCATTATTTTATTGTGCTAAAGCATGGCAAGTTTTGTATTGGGATTGCCACATGGAAGTCTAATCAAGTGAGTCATATATTGATGTGATTTCCATTTTCTGTACTGTACTTGAACTATCTCTGTAAAATTTGTGAACTTCTGGACTTAAACACTATTGCAAAGAAATAGTTATTAAATTTAAGAGTGATAATATATTAATAGATATTTAAAACTTAGTCCCATATATATCTATTATATTAAAAATGTAATTAATTCTAAATAGTAAGGTTTTATGGACTCTTGGAGTGTTTCAGTGGATCTTTGGAACTTTGTATAAAGAAACTGGCCTACTGACTTTTCTCATCTATATTTCCTTGATCTTTAGGAGAAGCCTTTGGGAACACAAGATTACTGTAGTTCCTCTAGTTTTAACATTCAGATGGAAAAGATTGTTGTGAAGCTGGGAACAAACACAGTGCTTACCCTTTTGTGGAAGGGCTGCAACACAACCTGTTTCTCCCAGTGGGAACTGTTTTTATTGCCATGTCAACAGCATCCTCCTAACAACAGCTTACACGTCTTTGGAATGCACAGGCTTGCATGCCACTTTGTGCCTCATCCCTCCTTCCAACATTAGTATGCCTTTTTTTTTTTGGAAACTGATGCTCTGGAAAGCTCTCTGTGGTCTACCAGTCTCTTACTCTCTTGAACACTGTTTGGTGTCAGTAGTCACTGTGGGCAGGCAGTGTAGAGAGCCTCTACAGCAGGAGATCTTTCAGGCTACAGGCAATGGAGACCCCATCAGCAGTGGTTAGACCTGCTTGAAACAAGACAGTTCCTCAGGATATGTGAGAAAAAGTGCTTACTACCTTGGATCTCTGGTTTTGTTTTTTCTAGGAGTGAACTTGTTGGTGGGCACTGAAAGTGGTCTGATGCTGCTAGACAGAAGTGGGCAGGGGAAGGTTTATCCACTCATCAATCGAAGACGATTCCAGCAAATGGATGTACTTGAAGGGCTGAATGTCTTGGTGACAATTTCTGGTAAGGTTGACTGTTGAATGTCATATTTTACCTCCATGTGGCTTAGTATGACAGAAAGATTTTCTTGGCAGCCTGTGCTTTGAGGGGGAAGTCCTGACTGAAGTCAGTGGGTTTCCCATCATTTCATCTCTGAGTCTACAGTTTATTTCTGCAAGTTTTCTACACAACACCCATGCCTGCTTGCTCCCTATCCTTCCTTCTGTCGGGTGACCTTTAAAAATGCTGCCTGAGTTTGTGGGAATGTCTGACTCTGTTTCCTTGTTCAGTATTTGAGAGCTGGAAGTTTCTGTTTGTGATGTTTGGGAAAATAGCATTCTTTCTCCTCTGTCATGATTACTTTCTACCTGGCCTTTTTCTAACTAAAACACTACATGCTCCTTGGTTTAAGGACGTTTTTCTTGTGTGTTAAAATCTGTAGAATGGGGAAAGCTCTTGCACAATAGGGAAGTAAGAGTGATGTGCAGTAAAAGTGTGAGAGTAGTACAGTGTGTACATGGTGTGGAAATAACCAGAGTGAGAAGGCAGATTGGTGCCTGATCTCTCACTGGGTGCAACTTGGGAATGGCAAAGCAATGGGAGATGAAGGGTGGTGGTGATGCTTGTGTTTGTTTTGTGTGTACTGATGAAAAATGTGTTTTATGAAGCTTGAGGTTCCAGACTCTTTGGCTCCAGAAAGTTATGGCATAACTTTAACCTGCTGTTGAACAATCTGATGTGGTGCACTGCTGGTCTTTCTTCACAGGTGCTGTTCAGCCAGTTACCTTTTGTTTTGTTTGGTTTGGGAAATCAGCCTTGGCTATGCTGTGTGTGTGTGACGGGGAGAGGATGTTACGTGAGGTTTCTCACAGGATTCGCTGCTGTTGTTCAAATCCACCTAAATTTTTTTGAGGCTCTGGAACCTCTCTATGTGTGCTGGAGGAGCTCTCTGGCTCTCCCAACACTTCTTCAAAAGGACACACACATTAGACAATTTAGTGGAATTTAGAGCATTGGTGATGCTGTGTTACCACAGATCCGAAGAGCCATGCCCATGCTGCTGTCATCAACACGGGATTTGTTTCTGTCTGGAGCAACTGAATTTTATTGGCTTGTCACTTGCTACATTCTCAGATACAGCTATGCTGTGAAATCTATAAAAAGAAAAAGATGAATCAAGCAGCGTTTAAAAATACACAACCTGCTGTGTGTCCTTTTGATGTCTAATGCAGTATGTTAAAATATAAGCTGTTTGAAAGGCACTATTTGATAGAGTTTATTTTATAGCAGACCTTGTCAACAAAAATACTGTATAATCCAACTTGTGTAAAATCTGTTGGTTTGAAATATATCCTACACAAATCACAAGTGTCTGTGATTCAGTCTGGTGTATAATTGTTTTAAGTTTATTTATTTTTGCATCAGTCACAATTTAAGTACCCTGACACATCTGTTTTCTTTGTTTCCTTCAAAACTATTGCTTCCTCTGTGGAGACACGCTACATTAACCCTTAAGAAATCAGCTGATCCTTGGTTGTTCTGTGCCTTTGTGTCTATGCCATCTCCTGTGTTTTTTGGGAGGTTACTGAAGTATGAGGCAGAAGAGGCATCCTTGCCCAGTGAAAGGCAGGGCTGGGGGAGCATATTCAATGAACATCTAATGCTGTTACGCCCAAACTTCCCCTTATACCCTCCTTTTGTCTTCTCTGCTGCACATCTCAGTTCTTTACCCCCATGCTGGACTTCCCTAAGTATCTTTTTATTTGTGATGTGTTGCTTCACCTCTCCAGGCAAAATTGGAATGCTGGGGTTGAGGGTATGTTTCTGCAAATGGTGTGTTTTGCAGATTAGTGATGGAACTGTCTCTGAGCTTTGTCCCAGCACTGCTGCAGCCTTGCTGGAAGCATTGTGCAGCTCACTGTGGTGCACTCAGCCATTTGTTCCCCTGAGTTTTTTGGGAAGTGATGTGCTGATGGTGGTAGGGTTTGAAAGGTGTCACCACGTTGTGCTAAGAAGTTGCAGTGTGTTAGGATTTTGAGGGGATTGTCACCTAAACTTGCTTTAAATAGACAATAGAGTCTGAAAACATGAAATCAGTTCTTGACCCAATTTATGTTTGAAATACAGAACTTTCTGACAACAAAGGTTTTGATACTGAGATACTGAGCCTGCTAGAAATGGTACAAGAGAGCCTTGCAGATAAAGCAAGAGTAGTTGATTGGTGCTTCAGTTCATGTTGTTGAGAGGCAAGAAACAGTTTCATCTGCTCTGGTGATAGATACAGTACAGAGTCATAAAAACGCTGAAGGAGAGAGCAGCAATGTGCATGCAGAACACGCTCCAGTTGTGGCTCCCTGAGGGTTTTGCCAGCCCAGCTGGCTGATGGTGGCACCAGGAAGGTAGGAAGAGATGACAGAGTGGAAGAACTGGTTGGAATCTGCCTGGTTAATAATTAAAAACCACAGTGACAATAAAAACAAAAAATTCAATATAGGAAAAGGCTTTGCATTTGAAATTATGCCTGTGGGAGGATCCAAGCTGGGTGTTTTCACAGAATTCACTGTCTGATTAGTTCATTTGATGGCTGGAGCAGAGTTTTCTTTCTTATTTCGTGATCATAAAGATTAGATCCCTGCAAAAAATAAAAAATACCAGAATTCTGAAGGCTGTTTAAACTGACTGGTAGAGCTTTACAAGGAGAAGGATCTAATCTCCCCCACTCCAAAAGCGAACATTAAGAGCAGCATAACTTGTTGAAATAAATGCATAGCCATGTTTATATAACTAAACCGGTTCTGCTCTTTTCATGTCAGGCTGCAGAAAGGCAGAGGAATTTCCTGTCTTGTGACTTTTCCTTGTGGTCTAGACACCAGAACACAATGGGAACACACTTGAGATATTTCTCAGTTGTTTTGAAAAATGTTTCTGGTTGGAGAGAAATACCCTGGTGCATATCATGTGAATCAAAAGGAAAAAAGTAGCCACATGCTGGGAAATTCCCATGTGCACTGTTTGTCTGAGTCTTAAAGTTTGACTAAGTTACTGGGGAACCTACAACCATGGAAATATCTGAGGCAGAATTTGTCTCCTTGTGGGCAGGGACTCAGCATGGTTTTGAAAGCATTGGTACATTGTAGAGACCCTGAGCCTTCTGAGCTCTTTCTTGCCCAGAACTGCAGTGGCTTCTGATCTGAACTATGTTTCCTATTTTTCAGTGTTTTTAAAAAAGCCTTTGTGGCTATCATTTGCAGTGTTTTCATGAAAGGATCTTTTCTTGGTTACATGTGGGACTTTTGGAAATACTGTTTCCTGCACTAGTCCTCCAGATCTTGAGAAAGCTACCAGAGTGGTAGGGCTTGACCCCTTTATGAAACACAGCTTTCTAAATATTAAGTCTGGAGGTAAATCAGGGTACTAATTTACTGCCAAATCTATAATCCCATTTGTAATGGTGATAAACAAAAGATAGTGCAGTTACTTCACATTTCATTGCATGGCATCAGAACAGAAGGGCTTTTAAAATTGGGTAGCAGATCCAGTATTTACAATTACCTCTCCAATTCCACTTTAAGCTTAGTGAACAGATTTTTTACTTTGAAATTGCCTTCTCTTTTCCTCCTGTCCTTTCCCATCCAAATAATCATCAAAATATCTTTTAGACCGTGTGTGTGTTTTTAATGCAATGGCTTGTGGTGCCGGAGTCCATGGAGAATCCTGTTTGCAAGCTGTGCTTCCCCACATTGCTGCCCCAGCCCCTGCAGATGCTTTTCCTGACAAGCCTGGCTATGTTAGGGGATCCCTTACTGTCAGGGTAGGGGGTTTGTTCCAGCTGCAGCCCCGCAGTGTGGAGCTGGCTGTGCACAGCAGGATGGGCTCAGGGCTCAGGCCTCTTGTCCTGCTGCAGCCAGTATCCCCTGAGCAGCCACCTGTGAACTAATCTGGCAGTGTCCTGTGAAAACGTGACAAATTCAAGACATTTAGCTGAACTCTATAGCTGGATCTGGCTGGCAGGCTGCCAGGTGTGGCATCTTGATACATGGTGGCTTTTGGCAGCACAGACCAGTAGGGTGTTGCTTGGCCAGCAACACAGGTGACTGCAGCACAGGTCACCTGTCTCCCTCTCGCCTCCAGTGGCTGAAACACAGGAAAGACACATGGCTCCTCATTGTGGCTGGTGCAGCAGAGCATGGAGCTACTCTGCTGACAGGTGGGGTCCCTGAGGGCATCTCCTGTAGCCCTTCCTTTCCAAGAGACCTCATGGAGCCTTGGTAAATGGCTACTGGTCAAAGCAGGGATGATCTCCCTTCCTCAGCCGCAGCTTAGTTTGTAAAACTGTAATGGTTCCAAGCAGCAAAGCAGCTGGAGAAAAAGAGGATGCAAGCTTTAAGTATGTGCATTTAGGGCCATTTTCTCACTAGCTCAATAAATACTTTGTAGGCCATTAATTGTTAAAGAATCAGTGGTAAACTTTATCATGAACCTTGCTTTGCATTCTAAGAGGCCTTCTTGTATTGAGAGTTAAAAGTCTGAGCTGTATTTTGATGACGTGGCAGATGCTGTGTCAGGTGAAGATAGGGCAGCCTGGGCAGGTAGCTTCTTTCACCTGTGGAGAAGAAACACCTCTCTCAGTTTCTGTGTGCAGCCTGCTAAGTATTACACACTTGCAGCTCAAGGGAAGGGCTGCTGACAAAGCAGGCATCAGCTTTTAGCAAGCAGATGAAGTTCCAGGTCTCACATTCCATCCTGCTGCTCTCCTACAGTTTTGTGTCTAAAAGAGCCACTCTGACTCAGTTATATCTATATATCTATATATCTATATATCTATATATCTATATATCTATATATCTATATATCTATATATCTATATATCTATATAAAATCTCAGTGCATGACTCTTTGGTGCTTTTGTTGTGGGAGTTCCCTGTTCTAGTGGAAGTTGTCTTGGTCCTAAGAACCGGACAGCTGAAGAGTTGTTCCCTTGAGTTTGTCATTTATGTCTGTGTGATATTACCATGTGTGTCTATCATTGATTAACAGGAAAGGGCATGTCTGGGTGGAGTCTGGAGTGAAGCTGTTGTGGATGAAAAACTGAGGGAGATTTCTGTGGCTGCAGCATTTTCTCCTTCATTGTTGGTTTGTTTTGCAGAGCTTTCTGTTTGCCTGGGTAGGGCTTTTTGCAAGTATCTTCCTGTAGAGATAAACCCTTTGGTTTTTTTTTTATTTTTTTCATTTTGTGTTCAGGTAAGAAGAACAAGTTGCGAGTTTACTATTTGTCATGGTTAAGAAATAAAATCCTGCACAATGATCCTGAGGTAGAAAAGAAACAGGGCTGGACTACGGTGGGCGACTTGGAAGGCTGTGTGCACTATAAAGTTGGTGAGTAGCAAATGCAGTAATCAGATAGTTAGGATAAAGGATGGCTGAGAAGGGGAACTGCAATACATGAAGCTATTGGGTTTATGGTTTGGTTGGTTGTATTTCTAGCTGTCTTATCTGTCTCTCAGGGTGAACTTGCTGGCAGAGCACCAAAATGGCAAGTTACAGGGTTAAATCGAAGATGAGAGGGGATTTTGTGGTAGGATGGTGGGTTGGGAACTGGAGAGTGTGTAAATCCCATCTATCTCCTTCCTGTAATGGATGCAGCTTCCAGAAGGGTGCTGATCTGGGCAGTGAGGGCTGGTAACATTTCACCCCCTCTTGAGGTAATAGAGGGATTCCAGCAGCTGCTTCCTTTACTATCAAGTTTCCCATATTTTTTACCATGATGAATTTACATGCTGGAATAGATTGAAAAAGTCTCTCTTTAATGTAGATTTTAGAGACTGGGAGAAAGAAAAATAAAAGTGTGAGGAGGAAGAAAGGCCAGGTAGCAGATGAGCTTTGGGGAAGAACCTGGGCACAGCAGCATGTCTGTAACTCCTGGGTGATTAACTGATTCTTCTTAGCTCATGAAATTCCCTAATGCCATCTCAGATCTGCTGCAGTACAGTTACAAAATCAAATGTGTTTTCACCAGGTAGGTGCCCTTTGAGTGGTTTTAAGTAATTTAAATGGATTTGGTTATAGAAACTTCCACCAAAGCTGGTGCAAGGACATGTGGCATTCACAGCCAGTGGAGTATATTCAGTGAGCCTGCTGCCCTGCAGGTGGGAATGTGAACCAAGAGCTCTTTCTGCTGCTTCAGTTTCACAGTGCATCCTAATGGGCACTGGCTGTTGCCTCTGATTTGATTTTCTCCCAGGAACCAGCTCAGTTCCTTTCCAGCTGTGTCAGTCAGTGTGGAGCAGCAGCAATCAAACTGTTCTCAGTCTCCTTCTGTCACGCATGTGCTCTTGGAAAAACCTGCTAATGGGGCGTAATCAATAACAGTGGCAGTAAGTGACTGCCGAGCCAGGAGCCTGACCCCGAAAACAATTAATAATGCACTCCTCTGGTATCGTACCCCAGGGTGTCAGCAGCATAATGAAGTGGCCTGTTAACAATACATCAGCAGCTATTGAAAGGAGGCTTTCCAGCAGGGAAGCGTCTGAAACAAAGAGTATTCTCTTCCTGATGAAGAGGGGTTTGTTAGCCTGGGCTGCAGCCTGGCACTGAACTTACCTCTGAGCCACAGAAATACAGTGGGTGTTTTCAGGTAGTGCGAGGCCTCTGACAGCTGCGCTTCAGTTCCCAAGGAGGAGAGCTCTGCCAGGAGCTGGGCTTGCGGTCTGGACGCTGTCACCGAGGCAGCTGGCACTGATCACTTCCTTGTCTCTTTGATGCAACAGGGGTCTCCAATGGCGGGCTGAAGTGGTATTTATGGATCTCAGTTGCTTCAGGCAACTTTTGGCTCCTCTAAATGAGAAATTGCTCTTTTGAAACTTAAGATTTGGGTGAATTCCCAGATAGCACCCAGAGCAAATAATAAGAATTATCAAATGTCCCCTTTCACAGATGAGGTGGTTTTGTTCAACATCCCCCTCTTCCCCGTGAAAAAATTCCAGGAAGTCTTGTAAGCTAGACAAGACCGAACAAAAGCTCTGTTTTTAGTCAGTACAGCTGTGGAGGTTGAGAGACTTTTTTTTGTCAGTTGAAGAAGTGTCAAGTCCCTTAACACTTAGAGCTCAGTCTTGCTTTCCTGCAGAGTTCAAAGAGCAAGTAGTAGCATGGATCATTAATATAATGACCCTTTATTTCTGATAAATTATGTAATTTTTGTTTTCTTTTTCTCAAATGGGTTATCTCAGAATTTAGGGACAAAGGAAAGTGCTCCACTATTAAGCTTGTCTTTTGCTCTTGAAATTGAGTTATGTTGTAATTTTCATTTCTTCCTCCTTTCCTCTGGGTAATTTTTCCATCAGCTCAAACTAACACTGTTGTGACTGGAACTGCCAGTAATGGACTCTTCCACAGTCACAGCCTTCTTTTATTGCAATGTTCCCAAAAACAACTTTTCTTGTCTTGATGACTAAGCACTGTCCAATATGAAAAAACATAAGTGAAAATAAGTAGTGACTAGTTAATTCTAAAGATGGTAACATGGTCACTTGCTAGCAAGAGTAATGACTTTCTGCAGCATAAACGTATCAAAGAGCTAAACTACATAGAAGTAGCAATCCTAAAATGCAATGCTACTAAACTCTCAAAATTACAGTATTTTTTAATGCTTACGTAACTTGTCTTCTTTCTTGATGTAACTGGAATAACTTTGGAATTATGCTGAATTCTTGTTTGTTTTCTTAATTTCAGTAAAATATGAAAGAATCAAGTTCTTGGTAATTGCATTGAAGAGTTCTGTGGAAGTCTATGCATGGGCACCAAAGCCATACCATAAATTTATGGCCTTTAAGGTAACAGTATATTTCAGCCATAGATCGGATTTTCTCATAACCACCTGCAGTTATCCCTTTTACAAAAATGTTCTGACATTGTGTCATGGCCATATTCCAAGTTCTTTGATAAATCTCCACAAACTTGGTGTTATATTTTAATTTAGGAGGTTTTTTTTTTTTTTAAATCTTAAGAATCAATACATTTAAAGGTCTAAATTGTAACTGAGCATAAACTAATAATGACACAACATCACAAGTTTTTCTTTGCTCTCTCTATTAGTAAAACATGGAACAGAGAGAAGTGGACTGAGTCTAAGCTGCTTTGTCAGAGCAGAGCAAGCAATGAAGTGATATTCAGCAATGCTATGGGACTGTTTTTGAATATTGTTAGAATGAAATCAGCTGGCTTGGTGTAATTGCAGGCTGGTTTACAGACAGTTACTGTGGGTTGTGTAGATCAAAGTACTACAGGAGTGCCCAATTGCCCTGAACTTTGGGAAGAACAATTCTTAATAAAAAAGCAAATGGACCAAGTAAACCCTGTAGAAAATAGCTTAGGTGATTGAAATGCAGCAGTTTGCAGAGTAGTCTGTCCATGAGAGATGTGTCAGCCTGATGGGTCTGGTGTGCAGGGACCAGAGGGATGTGGGGGAATAAATCCACAATGTGTGCATGTGAGCATGTTTTTATACACCCCATTGTTGTTCTAAGCAGTAAAGTAATCTCACTGATGGTTGTCTCACAGTCATTTGGAGAACTGGTACATAAGCCATTGCTGGTGGATCTCACTGTAGAAGAGGGTCAGAGACTAAAAGTGATCTATGGCTCCTGCGCTGGCTTCCATGCTGTGGATGTGGATTCAGGATCGGTCTATGATATTTATCTACCAACACATGTAAGAGCTGCTGTTGTGTCTGGCTTTTTCCCTTTCTTTCTGGTGGGTCACCCCCCATGTCCAACCCCTTCCTTTCCCCACATGACCAATGTGTCAGGCTGTCCCTGGGGATCACTGCCAGATGTTTGCAGTGGTATATTGGGTATATAAGGGGTCTCAGCAGATATGGCCACATGTGCTATGGAGTTTGTGTCTCACAGTCAGTCCTCACCTCATAGTCAGTGTGTCTCTATGGTTTGGGGTTGCCCACTCAGATCTGGTGAGGACCAGTGTGACTGTGTCAGGGGTGACAGCTAAATGCCCGAGTACCCTGCAGAGGTCCAGCAGCACAAATGACACAGCAGCCCAAGGGTTGGGTTCTTGCAACCCAAGAAAGGATTGGCAAAGACCAGGTGACTGTAGTTACCAAGTTTTCGTGTTTATTGTACACAGAGGTGTCAGATGGGCCACCCCAAGCCCTATTTAATGCAGTGCAGAGATTTGAGGTCGGCATCTGCTCTTCTTGCTCCAGCTCCCTTTCTGCATATGGAAAGAAATGGGGACCCCTACAGAGAAATTAATCTTTCCTCACTTTAGATGTCTGCCTTAAGATTGAGAGGATTTCTGCTCCAAGGGTTTACAGGTCTTGCTCACTGTGGTGTCTAGCTTGAGGGCAGCAGATACAGCACTTGTGAAGTGAGTGAATTTGGGACTCAATGATCTTTAGGGTCCCTTCCATCCCAAGCCATCCTACGATTCTGTGAATCCCTGATGTGTCAGCCAAAACCAAAATCCCCCATCCCTTTCTTCCAGCACAGGCTCTGCAGCATTAAACGCTTCCCCTTCTGTCTCCGTAGATCCAGAGCAGTATCCAACCTCACGCAATCATCATCCTCCCAAACACGGATGGGATGGAGCTGCTGGTCTGCTACGAGGATGAAGGAGTTTATGTCAACACATATGGAAGGATAACCAAGGATGTGGTTCTGCAGTGGGGAGAAATGCCAACTTCAGTTGGTAAGTGCCTCTGGTGAGCCATGCGCTCTTAGGAAGTGTGAGTCTGTGTGCACGTGGGCAGAAGGAGGAAACATCCAGTGTGCTGCTTCTGCATCTGAAGGCATGCTGTATTATTTCTGGGAAACAACTGTGCAAAGTGAGGAGTAATCATATGGCCTGATTCTTCAGCCTTGTGCTGAAGTTTTTGTGAATAAAACCCAAACAATCAAGTTGAGGAGCTCATGATTGAGAAATTCACTATGACCTCTGTAGGTCCTCTGTACCTCTGTAGAAATTCACCATGGCCTGCTGCAGAATTTTTGCTAGACAGCCACAAAGTTGTGGAAACCTTTCAGTATAAAGGCATATAAAGTGGCAGATGAGTAAAACACTATGGGTAAATCTGTGTAGATAACAAAAGGTGTACCTCATTTGATGTCTTTAATTCACCCTCAGATTGCTTGTCTCTCCTAGCACCATCCTCCCTCATCTCTCCATCTCAGAATAAGGTTGAGAGTGAGAACAGTGAGTGTAGTACCCAGGTACACACCAGAGTCCCTCCTGCTTGTGCTGCTGTAATTCAGTGCAGAGCAAAGCAAGGGCTATAGGCACACCCTCCTTTTGTTGGGCAAGCAGATTGCATTTTATGGGCTGTGGGATGGCTGCACATATTGGGAGATGATGAATGATAGCTGTTTGAGCAACAGTGCAGGAGGAAATTGAAAGAAGTTAGATGCACAGCATGTTCCCTCCTGTGCTGATTAACTCTTGACTAGATCTAAAAGCAAGCAGAATATATCAGCTGGCAAATTCCAGAGCCTTTGGAGACTTGAATGCTTGTGAAGTAGTAAATGGCACTGAGGCCACCAACACCATCTGAACATCTCATCTGGCAATTTTTATTAACTTTTGGGCCCAGTTAGCACTAGTGGAGCATTTAAAAAGGAATAATTTTCCATTGGGATGGTATATGCGCTGTTGGTGTACATTATACTGTAGTAGATAATTTGATTTCATTTCACTGAAAACTAATATGAAAATGTTATATAAAAGGAAAGTACTGTAATATTAAATGCTTTTTAATTTTGCTGGCTAGGAAGTCCTTTTCATTCTTCTGTTAAGTATGCATGCAAACCAGAGGCAACAGCTTAGTCTTCATTAAGTCCCCTTGCTATTTTTCACAGGATTCCTAAGACTGTCTATCAAATTTCTTTGTGAATATACCTTTTCATAATGCTGGTGATTTTCCTTTTAATTTAATTTGCTTCCTGCTATCAAAAATAGATTTTTTCCCCTCCACTACTAATCTGTGTTACCTGTGGCACTCGAAAGAAAAAATGTTTGATTTGTTATTTTATTTGTGCACAAAGGGATGCAGTATGTCAAATAATATTTCTACTTTGAGAGCTTAATGTGAACCTCTTGTGAGATACACAGAATGATTTGCAGTTGGCTTTCTCAAGATCAGTTTTTCAATTATTACTCCTATTAAGAGAGGCTAGGTAATTTTTTTTCTAGTTTTACCTTTCCCTCTCATTCTTTGTTTTTGCTGACAAACTCAATCAAGGAGGGAAAATAACACATAAGACCTAGAGCTGGTGCTTGGGACACATTGTAGTGGATGGGCTTAGCCTATTTAAACCTTGGCTTCTGCTTTCTCCTAGTCAACACCTAATTAATATGTCTGTTTGTCTCAGACTTGGAAGAAAAAGCCTGTGTAAAAACTCAATGTTCCTTCCATTTAATTAAAGGTTATAAAGTTTCCTTTCTTATAAATGCTCAAGGAAGAAGTATATAACACAGAAAACACGCAAAAGAAATTTAAATTAAAAAGGGTGTTTTTTAGGGATCTTGAATGTTCTGAGGACAGAAATAGCCCTTGGAACATGTGTGTAGCTACAATAAGGCACATGCAGGTAATTTTTATCTAGAGTGTGTCAGGATATTCTGTGCTTTTCCCATTTCTCCTGTTGCCCTCTGCCCATCCTAATGTGCTGTTTTCCTTCCAAAGCATACATCCGATCTAACCAGATCATGGGCTGGGGAGAAAAAGCAATCGAAATACGGTCGGTGGAAACTGGACACTTGGATGGTGTGTTCATGCACAAAAGGGCACAGAGACTCAAATTTTTATGTGAACGCAACGACAAGGTACATTCCCTCCCACCAAGGTTTTTGCCAAGATGTTAAACGTGTACTTCAGTTGGGTGCTCAGGTTGGGGTGACCCTGAGCAGCAGCCAAACACCCAGCCAGCCTCAAGCTCTCTCCCCTTACCCATGGAAGAGAAAGGAAGTAGTCAGAAGGCAAAAAGACTCATGGATCGAGATATGGACAGTTTAGTAAGACAGCTTTTATATGCAAGCCAGACAAAATAAAGAGTTAATACATGGTCTCCCATGGGCAGGTGGATGTCCAGATGTTTGTGTCCACACACAATGCTTGCTTGAGAAGGCAGATGTCATCACCACAGCGTCCCTCCTTTCCCTGAGCTTTTATTGGTGTACACAATGCTGTATGTTATGGGACATCCATTGGGTCAGTTTGGCTTAGCTGTCCCAGCATTGTCCCCTTCCAGTCTTTTGCCCATCCCAGCCCACTGGCCTTTTAGGGGTGAGGATGCTGGAGAGAAAGCCTTGATAACTGTGCCAGTGTTGTTCAGCAGTAGCCACAATAGGGATGTGTTAACAACACTGGTAACATAGGTGCAGAGCCCTGCACCCCACAGGCCGCTGTGAGGAGCATCAGCTCCATCCCCACCAGCCCAGACCAGCACTGCAGATACTGGGAGAGTGAAGGCACATTGGAACCACTGCTGTCCTGCCTGTTGAATTTGCCAATCTCTTTTCTTTGCAGGTTTTCTTTGCCTCCGTGCGGTCAGGTGGAAGCAGTCAAGTCTATTTCATGACCCTTGGCAGGACTTCACTTCTGAGCTGGTAGAAGCAGTGGGATTTGGAGAGGAATTGCTGACATCCAGAGTCTGAGATCTTCATAACTTGGAATTATTTTCAACTGGAGTACAGACCTGCACGAGTGCAGCACTCTGTGTAAATGTGTGTGCAGGCATCACTGGTGTTAGGTTTCTTTATGTTTTTCAACTGAGGCTGCGAGGCAGCTGGTGCTGTAAAGATATTGCCATCAGGTGCTACAATGTCTTGGAGATTTGGGATCACGCTAGAAAGCTACAGGTCTTCTTTTCCCTTCAGCTCCAGTGTTCCTAGGATTTGAAGGACTCTGTTTGTTAGTGTTAAAACAGAGGAGGGGGGAGAAAAGGAAGAAAAACAAACCAGGCTTACCATGACCATGCTGTTTGTTGAGTGGACAGGAGGCAGGCAAGAGAAGGTGAGAAGTGGTGTAGAGAGTCAGACTGGCTGAAACAGAGGGCAGATCTAGTCTAGTAATGTTAACAATGTATTTAATTGACATTTCTTTTTTGTAATGTGACAATATGTGGACAAAGAGGAAGGTGCAGGTTTTAAGAAGTTAATATTTATAAAATGTGAAAGACACAGTGACTAGGATAACTTCTTTTTGGGGACAGGGAGGGTGGGAAGGGGCTTGGGGTGGAATTCTTAGGGGTTTTTTGTTTCTGCAGTTTTATTTTGGCCTGGCCAATAACTTTAGTCATTTTCTGTGTACCAGGTGTTGCCTGAAACATGTGCAGGTGATTAAAAAAAAAAAAAAAGGAAAAAAAAATTTCATTTTCTATAATGATTCTGTGTTAGGCCAGAACTTGGTTATGTCACAGTATTAGCACTGCCTCAGTTAAAGGTTTAATTTTTGTTTAAACCTAGAAGTGCAACAACAGTTTTACCACAGTCTGCACTCGCAGAACTAAAAAAAAAAGAAAAAAAAAAGAAAAAAAAGAGAAATAAAATCCAAACTACATATGTTTATTTTTTTGTGCCTACCTCATTGTTTTTAATGCATAAAATAAAAGAGGTGGTTTAGTTTATACGTTTTTAGAAGAAAACCATTAACGTCTAATTTAATCTTAATACCAAAACTACCAGATTGAAAGGTTTCTGACTGTTATTGCATAGCAAGTTTCAGCAGGAGGAGTGAGTAGTCCCTTGGGGCAAGAGTCGTAGCAGTATGGCAGTGAGACACTGATTAATGTAATCTGCTTACAAAATTTGGCAAAGCAAGCATTTTTTAAACCAATTTCATCCTTAACAGAAGTATGAATTTAGCCTAAACCAGAGGTTTGACTCTTCTAACACATGGGCTTAGTAACAGGCAGGTAAAAGTAACTAGGCTAGTTCTATAAACTGTTAAATGTTGTAGGAAACATTTTGGGGCGGTGATGTTTTTCTTTTTTAAGAATGCAATGCACTAAAACTCTTTTAAGAATGTAGTTAATACTGCTTATTCATAAAAACAGCGTATACCTGTGTTTAGATGTAAGATCCCAGCTCTGGCTTTTTTCCTTTCTTTTTTTTTTTCTTTTTTTAAAGTCAGTTTTATTTTATGAATAAGTTCTGACATTTTTAATAAATGTCTTGAGAGTAATAATTTGTTTAGTGGCTACATGTTCATTACTTGAGAAATCTTGAGTGTATAATAATCTGTTGGTGTTGTAATAATGCACAGTGTCACAATTCAGCCATTCATTTTCCTTTTTGTTTTGGTTGTTTTTTTTTTTTGTTCTTGTTCCTAATTCCTTTGGTGGGGTACTTTGCTGACAGCTGCCTTAAGCTGTTCATTCAGTGAACAGGCTCTCAGTGTTTCATGGGCTTTGTCTTCTGCTGTGGTTAACTTTCCTTCATGGCATGACAGGTAGGGCTTTTTAAACACATGTTCTTCAGTTCAGTCAAGCTGATGGCTCGAGCGACTGGTCACACAATCAGTTAAGAGCCAGGAGCACCAAGTGTGCAAAGCTCAGACTCAACAGACCCTTCTTTTGGTGTCCAATCTGACTGCTGTAAATCCTGATCAGCGCTGTGCTGAGGACTCTCCTTCGAGCATTGCGGACAGCTGAAAGGCGAGCGGTAAATGCGTAACCTCCAGCGCATGCGTGTGCACACAGCAACCCCCACTCCCCCACCCCCAAAAAGAATCAAAACTCAAGAAAGCCTTACATTTGCTGGCGGAGGAATACTTAGAACTAATTTTTTTTTAATTGTATGACTTTTGGATAGTGTTGAAGGTGAAGGATGTGTTCTTTTCAGGCCCGGTGTGGTCAGCCAGAAGAACGATCGACCTTTTGTACTATGATGAACTAAAGGGGACTCGGAGACACAACGTGATGGTAGACATGGGTGTGATCACAGAGCTGCCCTGTAGTGTAGTTTGCCGAAGCTGATTCGATCGAATGTCAGTCTGCGTGATTTAAATCTTCCAGTGCTATGTGGTCAAAATTAATCTAGTCCTTGAAAGCTGATGCTGTTCACCTAGAGGAAGATGCTCCAGTGCTATAGGGATGCCCAGGTCATGGATATGTGCTGTTGAAGTTTTGAGGCTCCGGGGGAGGGTGGAAATCTCCTTCCTTCAGAGGGTCTGCCCATCTGGCAGCTTCTGCCTCCACAGAAGTGCCAACATGGCAAGGTAAAAACAGTATTACAAAACCACTTTGTACACCAACATCGAACTCTTCAAACAGTGCTTTTGTAAGCAAAGAAGAAAAGAAAAGCTCCTAGGTTTAGTTTTAAGCTTTAATAAGTAATAATTTTCTGTATCTTTAAGTCAAAGTAACCCTAACTTGTATGACTGCAGTGTTTTTATTTTTTATCTTATGCACATGTTATGTTGGAGAAAATGTTTACAAAAATGGTTTTGTTACACTAATGTGCATCACATATTTATGGTTTATTTGAAAGTGATTTTTGTGGGTTTTTTAGTTTTTCATAGTAGTAGTAGTACACTTTTTGTGATTTATAACCCCAAACTCTGCTGATTATAAAGATGCTAAACAATAATACAAAATGACAAACTGCATTAAAATTACTAATCGTAGAGCTGCAAAGCAGACTGGTGACAAGTAAAACACTCAGCCTTTCTTTTGCAGTGCTATCTAACTTGTCTTCTGTGTATTATGGAAATTACTGTTTTTTCCCCGTTTTTCCTTAAATAAAGTCAAATTGACACCTATTGTATGTGAAAAGTACTTTGAATATCTACTGGCTGCAGAAATCAAGCTGCATGTTGCCTAGTTGCATGTTACCATAAGAACAAAAGACTTATTGTCAAATCTCATAATTTTAGAGACTTTGACAATAAATGTGGGCTTTTGAGGGCTATTTTTTTTGTTGTTGTTATTGTGGTTTTTTTTTTTTTTTCCTTAAAGCCCAATCTCCTGGTGCAGTTGCTCTTTTGAGAATTGCAATTTTTGCTTTTACAGAGAGAGGAGAGTGAAAATCTTAGAAATGTGAGTGTGGGCCCAGAAAGAAGTTGCACAAGGAGAGCTTGGGTGCATTGTGAACGTGCCCTCCTGCCACGCTGCCTTCAGGCCTGTGGGTTTTGTAAGCTGGCATTGCTTTATTGCCAAGAGTGCAATGAACAGCAGTCCCGAGCTGGACTCTTGCACAGCATTAAAGCATGGCTCCAAAAAAACCAGGCTTTTCCTAAGCCACAAATACTGAGGAGGTTTGATGCAAAGTTGCTGGTTTTGCCCCCAGGGTTTCCCTTGGGCTTTGCCTGTGTTTTTCCACCAGAGGCTGTGTCTGTTTTCTGCACTGGAGATAAGCAGTAGACGTTTCCTTCCGACTAGGCTGGTCTCTGTGAGAGGAGGAAGAGGAGGAGGAAGTCTGTGGTCCCAGACTTCTGCCTTTCCTTTCATCTGCAGATGGCATGGGGATGTGGTGTAAGCTGAAAAATGTTTCAAGGTTTCATTTGCTTCCTATAGACAAAGGTATCTGAAATCCATAAGCCTCACATCTTTCCACTTCTACAAGGATAGATACCAACTGAACCTAAAAAACTCAGGACCAGCCAACTGCTGGTCAGGTTCCTGCTGGCTCCCCTCCAGTTGCTGCTTCAGAGCTGCTGGTTTTCCTCAGTCATCCTTGACCCATTGCTGAACATGCTTAGGTGCAGTTGGGTGAGCGCTGTCAGCTGGTTGTGAAGACAGATGTGAGCTGATCTTGTTCCAGTGTGCAGTAAGGGGCTGAAAGCAGCAACCCCAGATGTGGCTTTTGGAGCAGGTGCTGGCAGAGGCAGTGGAGAACAGGGAGAACCTTTGTGCTTCACTGAACAAAGACACAATTATGGTGACTTACAGTAAGAAGGAAATTTAAAAAGATAAGAGCACTGGAAACTATGTAGCAGATTTCATTCCTCTGTGGGACTTAGGTAGGTAGCAGTGGTGTGAGAGACACAGATTTTTTACTTTGTAGGGAGGGAGGGATGTTCATGGGGCAGAAGAGGACAAACAGTGCAGTAAAGGAGGCACATGTAAATTTTAAAATTAACAACTGAATTAGTGAAACCAGAGAAAGAAATCATCAAATGTCAAAATTGAAACAATTTTTTTTTACAAAGCTTTTAAAAATGCGGATTAAATATTAGTAAAGTGCAAAACACTTACCTAGAAGATTTAAGCAACAAAAATCTAAATTAGAGAAGATTACAAGAGCCAGCCCTTTTCAGTGGGTTGCTCTGCTAAAAGTCTTGTGCTAGAGCAATAGGATTGCATAGAGCTGTATACAAAGGTGGGAAAGTCCTGCTTTGTGGGCTGCTAGCTTTTGTGCAGAGACCTTGTTAATTCTTCCACTTGTATTCATGTTGTGGTCTGGGATGAGGATTGTAATACTGCTGAAAAGACACTGAAGTTCGAGGAACTTTAAATGCAAGAAAAGAGCTGATGGCAGAGAGGGGACTTGGCGCTGTGCCTTCAACACAGGGCTCCAGTCTCAAAATGCTCCCTGGCAACAAATACAGTAGTAGTAATGGGACTGCATTTCCACCTTAGAGTCTTAACTTGTGAGCTCCAGCTTCTCAGCCCAAAGCTGTTTCACTGTTCTAAAATCACTAAAGGAATACTAGCACTGGATTGTGCCACTTTGCAAAGCAGCATTCAAGGAGCAGGTGTCATGGCCAGCCTGGGTCATTTGCTGCTGACTGTCACTTTGCCAGGGAATCCCAACCAGTCCACAGGGAAACAATGCTGGGAACAATGCTGGGAGAAGACTTCTTTTGCCCACGAGGAATATGCTTTATGGCTGGGGTTCCAGCTGCACATGAAGGGTCCCTTGCCTGCTGGACTACATCGGGGTGTGTAAAGAGATGCAGGTTCAAAGAGCTGTGTGTGCTCAGCAGCTGTAACAATGTTCAGTTGTAGCTGTCTTCCACTAGGTCTTCCACAAATTCACTGCTGAGCTCCAGCACCCAGCTTTTGGCCTATTTCCAACCCATTAAAAGCAGGAAAGGTGGTAACAACTGTCTGCTTTTGACTTTTTAAAGTTTTTTTTAACACACTGCTGTGTTGGTGGTGCTTGGGGAGGTGTGAAAACGCAGGGACAGGCCAAAACTAGCACATCCACTGTAGCCACTTGGACTGCTGTGAAGGTTACTGGTTGGGGGAATTAAAGATGAACATCTTTAATAATTGTAGTCAAATTTCCACTCCATGATCATGTGGCTCCATGCAGCAGATGCCTCTAAAGGGTGAAAACTCTGCCCCAGTAATACTGATAATCTTACTCTCCTTATCTCACTGATTTATCCCAGTCTCGATCTGAACAATAATAAACTTGGGAGAGAAGGAGGGAGGAAGGTGTTTTATTGTTTAAGAAAATAAATCCCTGACTCAATCAAAATATGCCCTTTCCAGCTGAGGAAATGACAGGGTACTTTCTTTGTTAAATTCTAGTAGGAAATTCACTTTAATGTTTCATTCACAGGCTCCTTTGATTCTGTAGCGTAAAAATGTGGCATGGGAAAATCAGATTAATTTGTTGCAATTGCTGCATGTGAGTCAGATTTTACTTGCCCTCTGGAAATTTATATTGCACAATCTTGTGTTTGTCATTCAGCTTAATTTGTCCATTAAAAGGCATTACCATACTTCCATTTTATTTTAATATTTGCATCTCCCAAGCAATCTTACCCACGCCATGTTAAAAAAAAATCCACGCCATGGAAAAAAAAAATGCATTTCTGTCTCTGAAACAGCTGTTGGAGTGAAGGGATTGTAAATATTGCTGCATTGGCTCTTGTCACGGGAGGTCACAGGCAATTTCTGTTAGAGTCTTGTCAGTATAGTTAGCAAGCCTCTAGTCTTACAAACAGGCAAAGCTGAAGGACAGAGTAAAGTATGTGTTTGGCAGCTTTTAGTGAGTCAGAGGGATAGTTAGAAAACGGATTTTTAGTTTAAGATTCTTCAAGGCAACCGTTAAATCACCTTGGCCCCTTTGGGTATGGGTGTCTCCCTGGTGTTTGGTGAAGGAAATGGAGTGTGACCCTCACGGTCACGTTTCTGGGCCAGATGCTGACTAACCTTTTGGCAATGGAGACAGGAATTCATTTAGCAAGGTGAGATCTGTGAGAGAGCAAAGAGCACATTTTCTGCTTTATTGCAATGATTTTACCAAATTTTGTACCACCACTAAAGGATACATGTGCTTGTAGCTTGGCATAGAGCATTCCTACTTGGAACCAGGAAAAATCCCCTGGCTTTTGGCAGGGCTGTGTCTCCTACTGGTGGTGCCACCAGGCAGAAATGAACCTGGGTCCTCCTGGAAGAGCCTTGTCAAGAGCTTTTTTAGCTTTATCTTCAAACACAACATAGACACAATCTAACCTCTCCCAAGCACTTAGTTGTGTCCTAATGTCCACCCAATGCCAAAATGTAATCCCAAACCTGAAGGCAGATTTCCTGCCATGATGAACCCACCATGGTGCAGCCTACACAGAGCACTTGGCACAGCCAGACTGGTGAGCACAGACAAAAGCTCTGTCCTAAACAGTCTTTCCAGGCTTCTTTAAGTGCTAGACCTACCACAAAACCTTCTGGAAAATCCACATGGAAATTTTCTTGGTGTTTTGGTAATGAAATTAGCTGAAAGATAAGAAGAGAGCACATACTGGCATGGAATGTTAAAATGCAAAATATGTAATTATAGACTCACAGTTGTAATGACTCTAATGGATATCAGAGACAAGTATAAAAGCAGAATAAATTATTTCAGGGCATAAAGAATCAGTTATGGGTAATTAAGCTGCAATTATCATTACTGTGCTGCTATGATAGGTTTTTTTAAACTAATTTTTCTAAAATGGTAAAATGCAAGTTAAGCATGAATTCATCTATTATTTGCCATTCAGATAAAAACATTTTTCTACTGCTTTTCAAAATGTGCCAGTGGGACAGATCTCAGTTTTACATTAGTGAAAACACCAGGGATTTTTATGAAGTGATTTATTTCATGTCACACAGCCGTTCAGTGGCATCATTTAAACTCATGTTCAGTGAGGTACATAAACCCATGCCCACTGCCAATCATGGAAGCCAGGACTCAGGTTCCTAGAGAGTTCTTGACATGTTTAAGATCAAGGGATTTGGTAAGTCTAAAATCCAGGGCTCCAATTCAGAGCAAGGACATCACAGCTTAGAGTGGCCAGCATTGTTCTTGGTTCAGTCTGCAGTGCTGAGGTGGCTGAACCTGGAAATCAGCTCCTAAAAATGAGCTGATTTGGCCTCAGTTGGGAGCAATGCTCATTGGTGTCACCTTGCTTCAAAAGGGCCCTTGTAAAACATGTCAGGTATGTGCTCTGTGAGCAGGTGTGGTGTGGGAAGGATCAGTAATTCTGCTCACGAGAGCAGAGACCCGAGATGGCAGTGGCATTACAAACAATGGGCCAGGAAGGCAGTGGGACACCTTCTCTTCCTCTTCAAGCGCTGAAGGAAGACTTTGCAGCTGAGGAGCAGCTCCTTACTGGTACCAATGTACAAATTCAGGTGTTAGAAGAGACCCCCAAAATGTGGATAGAGGACAGCTTTGCCTGTATTGCATGGTAACCTGCACAAAGGAGCAAAGAGATGAATTTCAGGTTTGCTCCTCGCAGCATCTCTCTGTGGACGACCCAAGGTAGGAATATTTGCTGAAGAATTACTTGTGAGTTCCTAAACCCTTCAGGTCCTCTGGTATTCTG